TTAGAAGTGTGCTTTTTTTTCTTGGGTTTGAGAAGTGTGCGAAGCAAAGTGTCTGCAATTTCCGCCTGGATATTAAAAATGCGGCAGTCAAATTGAAATATTCTTGGGCTTACCTAGGCTCTCGCCACATCCACATGCTACGCCTTAGGCTTAAGCCATAAATCTTGGCCTAAGCTTGAGCCAGAGCCCATTCAACTCACGGACTCATGTGCCAGTTGAGGAAGGACTCCTTTCCCTCTAATGGCCGGACAAATTTATTTATTTAAAATTATCCTCGCACAAAGTCTGCTCTTTGTCATTGCAAAGCCGGGCTGTGGAAATTTATGCAAACTCTGCCTTGATGACAGAAATAGAATGTAAACACTCGAAATTGAATTTTAATAACACCACGCCAGCAAAGGCAAATCAAATGAAATATTTAATGAGACATTAATACGCCGTAAACTCATTTCTAATTACAGTCGCCAAGTGGTCTGCCCTTCGAGTATTTGTAATTCCAGTTCGCCTGTTTTATTTACAAGAAAATATATATTTCAAATAAAAGACAAAGCAGATGGATGAGGTTGGATGCTGGAGCATCCTCTTTCTCTGGCTGTTCATATTTGAATTTATATTAAATTTGATGTGGCCTTCATTTTAAATTCAAATCAATGGAAAAATCAGCTGAGGAAAAGCTAATCAATATATTGCTTTGTGGGGGAAAGGAAGAATGTGAAGTCTTGGAAAAATTCTTGGTCATCTGAGGAGTGGAATGGAATTCATTTTTTTATCTCGCAGGCATCATAAATAGTTTTTCACATTTTTCATTCTTAGTTCTATTGCCTTATTTTCCTTTTCCTTGCTTGCACAGCTGGGCCCATGCGGCGTATACGTAATAAAGGCTTGCCGGGTATTGCAGAAACAACTTCTAATCAAAATGGCAAACTGTGTGCTGTGCAAGCAGGATAGTGGATCGGGATAGTGGATGGAGGATAGACGATGGCGGAGCAACTTTTCCCACATAACCGCAATTAGCAGTTAGCCGGAACAAAGGACTCTACACTCGCCGAAAGGATGTGACAAGACAAGTTAATTGCAACTACAATCAAAGTAAACTTACAGCAGGGATTAGCTAGCAGCAAGGTGGAGTGCCAGTGCTCCTGACAGGCAATTAGAAGTGTCCGAGAGTATAAATACCATAAACAATTTCCAGCGGCAGAACATGGAAAACAACTTGCATGCTAATCCATTACACAATGGCATACAAGTGTCGCCATAGCCGGTGTTTTATCCTCTGAATGGCAAACTAGAAAAGGAATGCAGTAGCTCATGAAATATTTATGACAATGCTTCCGATGGCCCAGCTTTGCTTTGATATGCAAAGGCAGCTCTGGGACCGGGTCTTGGACAGTCCGAAATTTAATTTGTCTTTCGCAACCGACTGGTGGGCGTGTCGGGGCCATAAGCTTATGAATAAAGTGCATTTAATAAACGCACTTGTCCACCTCTGAATTAATTTATTCAGGCTTCAGGCAGTGCTTGATTTAAATATTGAGTTTTAAACGAAAACAGGAAATTCTTCACACTCTGACAACACAGCACTTTTGTTATCGGGAGGATGTGCACACACTTCGACTATTTAAACGCACATAAATTCCCATTATCCTGCGTAAATTGTGGTTATTGTTTGGGCACGTTCCGCATTACACTTACATATATCCTGTTTTTTGTGGCAAAAGTGGGCAATCACAAGGCTGTTCTAGGCCACTCAGTGATCACATTGCTTTAGTGGCAATAAAGTTATTTCACGACATGTGTTGCTTATTTAAACAGGCAAACTTTGGTGACTAAACGAAGTCATAACCAATTCCTCTTGATTACTCAGAGTGACGCCTCCCGAAAATGCAAACTCATGGCAATTATAATGGCCCCAAGTGGCGGGCCAGTTCGGGTCTTTAGACCCTAGCCAAAATATATGCTACACAGAGGAAATTGAGTTACGAACTTGGTCATGTATTTGGAGTTTCGAAAGTTTCGAGCTACTAACTCACTTATATTACGTATACGCTGCGTGAACCGAACGTTTTGATTGAAATATACATTTGCTGTACCATAATTAACCTTATTTTTTGTGGTGTATAAGCTGTGGCTTCCTGCACACCTATCAGCACCCATGCCCGTCGGGTGCTTTGCACATTTCCCAAATTAACCTGTCTGACGTACCCCCACAGACATCCACACCTCCTCGCCGCAAAGGCGTTAGTTTAAGCGGCTTGCGTGTTTGACTGCCACTCTGCATATGTGTGTGTTAACCATTTCTATTGCCAATCCGTTGGGGAGAGCCGGGAGTCGGAAGACCCAGAGTCAGACAAACAGGCGGACACGGTCTGCGAGTGTCACGTTTCGCTATCCGAAATCCAAAAACATCCGTTGTGAGTGGCATACGCAAAATTCAAATACAAAAATAATGCACACACACACACTCTTACTAAAGGACATTACTATATAGTGGGTGTTATATAAACATGTTTAGTCGAATGTGTCGCCGGGCATGGCAATGACTTCATTGGGATGGATTTCGGAGGGTGCCATTGAAATCCGTTTATTTACACACAACAATCAAAGGGACGACGACGACGACGATGGCAATGGCGATGGCGATGGCAGCACTATTGGGTTATTGCTGCTGGTGCTGCTGTTCTCGCTTCCATAAAATTCAATTGGCCACCCAGCCCGCCATATGTCTAATTATGGGGCATTGAAATGGGCCACCGGCAGGGCTTGGTGGCCAGAACGGGTAAAACTCAATTACGCCACGCTCTTGCGGAGCATTAACGTGCAACCGCAGCTTCTGCTGCTTCTGCTGGGCGTTGCACATTGCAGTGGCAGCACGTGTGATTCCTGCCACAGACACTCCCGTTTCACGGCAGCCACTTGATGGCCATTATATGGAGGCAACACCATCTTTCCTCCATGCTCTCAGCCTCGGTCTCTGCGGCTTTTCTTTTAGCTTCTGGCGCTGACTTGGCTACCATTTTGTGGCTTGTACTTGTGGCCCAAACGACATTTGCCAACAGTGCGGCAAAAAACCAACAAGAGCTGATAATGATGATGATGGTTGCCGGCGATGGCTGGAACATTTGCCAAATCAATTTAGGACATGCGGGTGGCCTTGCCGGAATGTCAGGCCAGGCATCAAAAAATATCTCGAATGGAAATTGGCTTTTAAAGGGGGCCGAAATGGGCAACAGTTTGGAGTTTTAGGATTTTCAAAAAGTAAAAAATGTGTTGCCTAACCCCAGGCGCTGTCCTTAATGACTCAACTTATGTATATATGTGTGGCTTGGTGTAAAAAATGGCAATGTTTTTGGCCTTTGTAGAGTTGTTTGCTTTGTCTTGGGTTTACTTTCAGTTAAATTTGCGACACCCTTTATTCATTACCCCTGCCCCCAAAAGTAATTGTGACGACACAGCTTCCATAGCTCTAAATATTTGTGCATTCCGTTGGGATTATTTGCATGCTGCGCACTGCTGGGCAAACAATTGCCAATAAAGATGGCGGGGCGAAAGGGATCGCGCCGGGAAACGAACCGTTATTGCCACACAATCTCGATGTGCAAATATTTGGACTGTATGAAAAAAAAAACTCTCACGCTTCCCCCCCACACTCCCATCCAGAAATACCATTTCCATTCAGGATATGGGCGGGGCGAGCAGGTCCTTTTATTGATTTCACTTAAAAACACACACAAAATCTGCTGCGGACATTTTAGCTATGGAATAGTCATAAGCAGACTATGGAAATTGTGTTATTTCGCATTCATAATTTAATTTAGAATTTAATTAATGGAAATACTATCGAAATCCAATAAGAAGACTATAATAGTTAATTAGTTAAAGGATTCTTGAACAAATCGTTGAGCTGAGTCCTTTGCGACACAGTGCAAATGTATGGTCCAAGGATCAAGGCCAAGGCAGTTACCATAATAAATTTATAACAAATGACATTGGGCAGCCTAATAAATGTGTAGCTATTAGTCCGGGGCCCCTGGCACTGACCATTTAAGCAACTGAATGCCAATTGAACGCACACACATGCACAGGAAGAAAATCAGTGGCAGGACATCGTTGTGAACATGAAATATGATTGCCCCGGGGAGGCAGAGGCAAGATGCGAAATGAGATGTAGACGGCATGGGTATAAATAGTTTGATTTAGTGCCGCTGCAGCAGCAAAAAGTCTCGGCAAGACTGTAGGAGCCAGCACAAGGACATGACCACTGATAACAAGGACTCTCCGATCAATTATAGCGCCATGTAAACAAGTCAGGAACGTGCCGTTAATTAGTTTCAATCAAATAACCAAGAAGCCATTGGAACAGCACCCAAATGGGATAAATCAGATGGACATTTTTGTAATATAGTGGACCTGTCAGGAGGCAACATTGAAAGTCAAACCCATTGGCAGCCATTAATGGCGCAAGAATGTTTTCCAGACAGGAAGACGAGCAGGAAAAGGCCAGAGCCAGACTTTTACAACCGCTGAAAATGTGTCATTAAAGCGACAATTTACGCACTACCAGGTTTCCAAACCTTTGCACCAGGCTCATGGGCAATTGATGATGTGACGGGTGGAAATCCAACAAAAACATATGCCCATAAAATCGCACATAATAAAGCGTATGCAGTTAAAAGGTCTTTAGGGCCCGTAAATCGCTGCCACGGTCCAAGTTAGTCTTACGGCTTTACGGCTCCGACAGTAACAATGTAAACAGATATAGAGTTTCGCCGATTCAATCGCAATATAACTCATACACATTTATGATCTGTATATTATATTTGTACATATATATATATATTATATTATATTGTATATATACTATATTATATATATATATATTTCTATTTATTTGTTGTAATTCAATGGAGAACTAAGTTGGCATGTTACACATTCATATGTATATTCAATGCAGTGTTCTTCCCATATTTTATCTTTGACGCGCCATCGCTGCTATTTGTATGTTTAGGTGTGAGTGGATTTTAATGTAGCTTTGTGTTTTATCGCAATTTCTAATGTGTAGTCTCAATAATGATCTCGTGCGTGTCCAGATCGGGCACGGCGAACTTCATCGGCAAATAGTCGTCTGGGTGCATGTGGGACATTTGATTCACTTCCAGCTGGGCCCGCTCGTGATCCTCATGGCACTTGGTCTCGTGCTTCTCGTAGTCGGCGAAAGTGTCAAAGATGGCTCGACACACCATGCACTCAAAAAAGCTTCTGAAAGATAACAAAACAATATTAGTTTAATCACTCTTGACTCGACGATCATTTTTGGGTACTCACGGTTTCTGCTCCGCTTCAAGGCGTTCCCTGGCAAGGGCGACCGCCGCCTGGATGGAGCCTGCGACATCGACATCGACGCCATCCTTGATGTGCGATTGCAGGTGACGCTTGAAGTTAGAGAGCTGGGTTAGGCCCTTTTCGCAGTAATTGCACTGGTAAGGCTTGGCATTGAGGTGGCCCAGCTTATGCTTCTTGAGGTTGACCAGTTGGGAGAAGTACCTTCCGCAACGCTGGCATCGGAACGGCTTCTCACCAGTGTGTGTCATCTTGTGGCGTTTCATGTTGCTCTGCTGGGTGAAGGACTTGTTGCAGAAGTTACAGGTGAACGGACGCTCGCCACTGTGTACGGCATAGTGCCGTTGCAAGTTTACTGCCTGGGCAAAAGCCTTCGAGCAAATATTGCACACAAAAGGACGCACATCGTTGTGCACCTTCATGTGGCGATCGAGATTTCCTGAGTTGCAGAAGCTCTTGGCACACAGCTTGCACTCATAGGTAGTCTTGTTGTGGTTGTGCACCTCCTGCCGGTGCAGCGTCTGGTCCCGCTTGCTCTTGAAGGTCTGTATGGGCGGATAATTGTTTAGTTAACGATATATAGTACAGATTTCTCCAATACTTACGCGGTCGCAGCGCTTACAGCTAAACTGATTTACCACTGTCTCGTCAAATTCTACCTCCATACCCGCCATTGCACTGTTGACTACCACATCGATGCGATTCGGTATTTTATTCTTCGGAGTTCAAGCATTAGAAAAGTGCAGCTTAAGCAGCGAACGATGCAGAAAACTTACTTTTATTGGCTTATTCTGTAATTCTGTAATTTTCGCGTCCAGAAAAAGTCATATGGTGGTCTAGAGTGGCTGCAGTGGCCAAAAAAAATACCAGAAAAAATACCATGGATGGCAGGAATCAGGTCGCTGTGCAGCACTACTACGAAATGGGTGGACAGCTCCGGTCTTCACTAGTGTTGGGCAGCTACCAATCCATTTTTTGGTAAACAACTATTATTTTTACCCAAACCAGATTAAAATATAAAAACAAACATTGTCTTTGTGCTATTGGAATATGTGGATTGTGTGGATTTGCTAAAATGCAGCGGATGTTTGTTTACTCTTTTTATTATGTGATTGAATCGACGCCCATCTGAAGAAGTGACAAAACCAGCCTATATACCCCAAGGCCAACAGCAGGAGGATCCGCGAAGAAAATCCGGCAGAATCTAATTCATCCGACCTTCCCCGCAAAGTCCCCATCATGGCCACCTACTCCAATCAGCACTGGCTGCTATCGCACATCCGCAACTCCTTCATCTCCACGGACGAGACTGGCATCTGTGAGACGGTAATGCTGAGTGATGACATGCCGAAACACTACTTGCGGAAATTCGGGAATGCGGGGGCTGGCGGTGATTTGCAGAGCCAGAGGCGTCGTGGCCAGAAGCCCCCTCCCTCGGCCACTCCCGAGCGCAACATCCGCAACCCGGATGCCCTTCTGATGGACGTGGACTACATATGCTATCCAGGATTGGATTTGAGCGACGACGAGGAGGACATGTCCACTCATTCGTTTGACATTCAGATGTACCCCGAGGTGGGTGCCCATCGATTCCGCTCCAACACTGCCCAGAAACTGGAAAAACTAGACATTGCCAAGCGGCGAGCAGCCCGCATCAAGAGTATCAACTACCAGGAGGAAGTTCAGCCGCCCGACAGCGACGATTTCTTTTTAAGAAAGGAGGTAAAGAGCCTGGACGACACCAAGACAAAGTCTGCTGAAAAACAATCAAAAAGCGATGAGGATGACCTGTCCGATAACGGGGTGCAAAGCAAACTAACCGAGCAACTGGCCAAGACGCCCAAGCAGACCCAGAATCGATTCATTGAGTTCGCCCGCTTTGACGGCACCTCGCAGGTGGGCTTGCAAACCAAACGCATCAACGTGTATCTGAATATGCTTCCCGAACCGGATCGAAACTATCCCCTAAAGATCTGCGTTATTGCCACTGCCAAAATCCAGGAGGTGATTGGATTTGTTTGCTACAAGACCTCCAACCAGTACCCGAATGTTCCGTTGAAGTCCCTTCAACACTACGCCCTCTACATGACGGAGGACAACGACGACATGGAGGACTTTCCGCCCTTGGACAACCGCGAGCCCTGCTCCAAGTTCGGCTTCTCGCATTTAACCCTGGCCGAACGCCGGGCCCTGGCGCCAGTTACTAGAGTAGACTACCATGGCCAGCTGGGCACCAAATCCATGACTTCCGAGGAAGACAAGGCTGCCCTGGCGGAGGCAGCAGTCAAGGCGTTACAGAACATCAATCTAAACGGCGGATCTGATCCTGGAGGAGGAGGGAAAGGGAAAGGAAAAGCAGCAGCCGAACAAGAGATCGACACGTTCCGTGAGTACGAGAAGCGCCTGTTGAACCACAACGACATGCTGGAGGCTCCGATGCACCGCACTTTCCGCCTAAGCATCATCGACAAGAGGTTCTTCAAGTCGGACGTTACTCTCGGTATCTCCGGGGAACGAATAGAGATCGACCAGTGCAAAAACGCCAAGTTTTGGCCTCAAAAGAAGCCCGTCTCGACGCCCATCGACTTTGTGGCTCACTGCGAGATTGTAGAGAGGCGCCAGCTAAAGGCTTTGCTCCGCATCTGGCTGAAGTCCAACTCCTCGTCGCCCTCCTTCTCTTCCGGCTGCACGTCGGCGCCAATCAATGCCAGTGTAACCACCCTGAACATGGGCAGCGGGAGCGGCAGCGCCGGGATCGCACACTCGCCCAGCAGTCCAGGACACTCGTCGTCGGGCTTCTTCACCAACAGCAATATCCGGTTCAAGCACTACGACTTCGACACGGACACCCACACGGCGGAGGTGATATACAATAAGCTGAACTGCATCCTGGAGATGCGATCGAGCGAGCTGCGGGGCGAGTTTCTGCTCCAGAGGGAGCGCAAGCAGGAGAAGCGCCAGCTGAAGTTGTAGTATTTATTCCTATGGCGGCGGCTGCTGCTCGTGTGCCTAGCAGGCGGGCTGTCACTGCCACTGCCACGCCCCCGCCTAACCAAACAACCAACACGTCCGCCGGCGTCAGTGTGTCCTGTTTAATAAGTTGTATTAGTTGCTAACTAAAGATTGTGTTACACATGTTTGCCTAGCCTTTAAGTATTTATTAAACTCGCCCATCAACAAAGCCTGGTCCTGAAAATAAAAAACAAAGTACGTTGCAATCTGAAACAGTAAGCCGAAAATCTCCGTATCTCTGTATCAGCTAAAAGCTTCCGCCTCTCTCAGTTACGATTTTATTTCCGTTTTATGGCCGCTCTCATCGGCCGGCTGGCATTGTAATTGCCAGTAATCAACGTGCAATTAATCTACCAGACGCCCCAGACGGGGTCGGGCCTAACGGTGTTTGTTTGTATTACTGCATATTGTTGTGAGCTTTATTTTAGTTTGTTTTCCAGTTGTGATGTTTATTTTTAGTTTTGCAATGTCAGTAGCGATGAATTGACTTGGGCTGGGTCGCCTCATAACAGCTGTGCTGTCGCTGTAAGCAGCGGTGGTGCTGGGGATTACTGCCGTTAGCTGATTGTTGCATGTATATCGGCAATAGCTGCACCAGCAACGACTAACAAGCGATCGCAACTTGTTCTAAGGCCAAGGTTGCCGGCTCGAAATCACGCCAAAAAGTCGCGCGGCTAGAAATGTGCGACATCTGAGGTCATTCGACTGCCGATCATGATGATGATGCTGATGAGGCTTCTATAGCTGTTGGCGTGACCAAATCGAGGCAACTACTGACGGCGATCGATTTATGGAAAGTGATTCACCCGATGCACCAGAATCCAACTCCCCAAGGAAGCCGGCAAAGGTTAGGCTTCAGTTCGGAACATTGCTCATACGCCATGGTGGCTGAAACACACAAAAGCATAACAAATGGCAAAGATCTCGAATAGCAGATATAAGAATGGGAATACGCCTATTTTCATGTTCGATATGTCTGCCCGGTTTGGGGGGTGAAATGATTTATGTCTTGACAGGAACCCAGGCCCATTCTTTCGGAAAAACAAATTTAAATATTGCCTGCAATTTGTCAAGAGCCCGTTCAATGGTATCTATCTGTGGACAGTGCCAGTTTATTGGCGGCAAGTGCCAGTCGCCTTCAGTGGCACAACATAATTATCAGCTAATTTGCCTAACTAATTTCTCGACAAGGATGCGCCGCAGCTAATTGAAAGTCAATAATATGCGCTTATTATAGCCAACCTTGACATTGAAATCGAATGACAAACGAAAAGTTCACTTCTCAATATGAAAGTTGCAATGCATGCGCCGGGGCAGGTATGTCGGCGGTATACCTATATAAAAAATATATAGGTATATGTAAGTAGGCGGGGCAAGAAACTTGGCACGCATGTGAGCGGATTTTCACTGCGAATAAAAAATACAAAATAAAAACTTTAAAAGCTGAAAAATACAAAAGTGAGCGGACCTCGTTGTCATTTATCAATTGCATAAAATAATAGGCCTAGGCGCATAATTTAATGTCGCGTTGTTAGCAATTTTTGAAGGCTATGCGGCATATCTATATAGAAGTTATATACTCGAACTCGAAACTCGTATGAGTATGAGTATGAATACGATTCGTATTCAATGGCTGCTCATGCAGATTAATCAAAATGCAGCTAGAAGTAATCGGTGATCCTGAGTCACGCAACATTGCAGCCCGATACGTTTATGATATGTATGATATGATAGCCCCCCAAAAAAGCAGTCCAATTATTCGTATTTTTTAGCAAACTCATAACCAACATTAAGTTATCTTCGTTCGATCTGTTTTTTAAGTTTTTTTTTTCCCACTTCTCATTGCCGGACACTTTCCGATACGCTTCCGTTTCGTGTCGTTTATTCGATTTCAATATGCTGTGGGAATTTTAATGGCTTAATTGTGGGCGGAAATTAATTGAGCTTTTAATAGAAATTTATGGCATATTCCCCTAACGGTAACTCGCATGTTTTTCAAATTGTTAGAATAATTCTCCGAACAGATATCCGAACAACTCCCTTTCGATTTTTTCCAAAAGTTATACAAAGTTGCGGGCCATAAACGTTATGTTGGTCTTTTCATTATGGCCATAACATTTTGCACATACCACAAAAAAGCAAAGCGGCCAACCCACTCGGAGACAGGCGTTGCCCCAGTGCGTTGCACGCATAGAGACCCGCTTAGAGACTTGCCACTTTAATTGCACAACTTTGGATTTGGCCGAAAAGTGTTAAGGCCCGGCCCAGAGACAGCCCCCGGAGCTTGTTCGCCGGCTCCGCGAGACACTTGCAACCCAATTCTGTCGCTCGAGAAAGGAGGCATATATGCACTTTGCGATTTTACATGAACGGCGGTTTAATTAAAAGCCATGCCAGTCGATTTAGCAAAAATATATATGGATATGTAACTCCTATCTTGGAGGTCAGTTGGCGAGCGGCTCGGGGTTGTCGAGGTCCAACCTGTTGTTGCAACTCTCAGAATCACGTTCCATTCGGCCAGTCCAGCAGGGCAGGTCATCTTCCTGCCTCCGGCTCCCTCAGATATATTTGTTGCGATAAATTTTGGGCCGGCAGCAGCCATCAGCCTCTGCCAAGGTCGCTTCCTTAATGAAGTGCCGAAACTTGGGCTCGTTTCGTGGCAGGCACTTGACGTGGAACTGGTTTTCGGGCACCGCTCTCAAGTGGATGCCACCGCCAGATGCAGGTGGTGATTGCCACTTGCACAGGGAGAAATTCTTTAATTTTGATGGTTAGTAAAGGTCTACAATGATCCCCGTTCTTCTCAGTGTAGACAAAATCCAATTGAAGGTTGCATTGCCCTTGCCATGAACCTGTTTTTTCTTTTTTTTTTTGGCGTCTGGTGCCTCTTCATCCTTCGATAAAAGGTTCTGAATTATGTAATCCTGCGCCTTCTCATGACCCACTTTCGGGACCATACAATTTCCTGCTCATAAATCTCCCTCCCCGCACAGGATATGCGATCATAACTCATCAACATGGCATAATACAAGGAATTAAATGCCATTCAAAAGTAGATGCAACATTGAACTTGGTCTGTCATGCAATCTAATGAGCTGATTTGTGCCACATTCAGGTGCAATTATGCGAAAGTTAAGGCTTTCGTACTCCATTTCGGTATCTCGTCTGATCGGTGCTGACAGCCCAAGTCTTCCCACACAATTTCGGGCGAAAAAACCTCCGGGGCGAACTGAAATTATTCGCGTAGGCTCAACAGCACAGTAACGCGTGCAAAATGTCAACAGAAGGACAAACTTCAGCTAACAACAATTGCTAATGTGCTCCGATCACAAGCAGATCGGCCCCAAACTATAGATCCGCTGGCCCTGAACGCGGTATGGAGCTCAGACTCGGGCTCTCCAAACACAAAAAAAAAATCGGAAAAAATGTGTAAAAAGTGCAAAAAGTAAATAAACGCTAAATAAAGGCAAATATTAATGCGTGAACAATGCGAAGTGGCAACAATGCAGCATAAGGCTTAAAAATTGGCTTTTAGAGGCAATTTGCTGTTCCGACCCTGCCCCTTCTCCGGGCCCCCTATTTTTTGACCTACCTTATATCTATCCACTTCCTGGATTACTTTGAGATTTGTGCCACAATCAAACGAGTTGGATTAATCGATTTCGGAGGGACACGCCTCTCGAGGCTGCTGCGAAAAAAAATTAGAAGAAAAAAAACCCGAAAACAAAAATCATAATTTTGATTTTTATTAAATAAATCATTTGCCATTTGCGGTTTGTTTGTTGCTGTGTTGCTACCAGTCCATAAACAATAAAAGACTCTTGATTTCTTATTGTTGGCTGTTTGGTGTGCCAGTGTGTCTCTTACCGCAAGGTTGCAAGATTTTTTCATTTATCTTTTTTTTTTGGCAACATAATTTACTTGTTGGCAAATCAAATTGTAGGGGCGAAATACTATGGAAACGAAATGCTTGTCGTCAATTGGCAAATTAATGAGCATTTGATGGCCAGTTGACCTTATATCAAGTATACGCCGTGCGGCCCGCCAGCAGCCGTACCTTGTAATTGGATTGCAAACGTTTGTTCTGGTTCTGGACAGCGGCTTGTATAATTTTATCAGTTTGGGTAAACAATATGGAAAACATGAGAGACTGCCACCACCCAACTAACAGAAGGAAATGCAGAAAAAAAAAACAGCTGACGCAATGAGTGTCGTGCAATACAGTGTTTTATAAAAATTGAGACCCACTAAAGGGATTATTGTTTCCATAATTCACATTTGCATATCTGTGTGTAAGAATGTGCGATGATATAATAACAAGAAAACGAGGCAAGAGCCGAGAAAATGACGCTGCCCCAGCGACTGATTTCAATATTGCACTTGAACTTGCACTTGACATGCAAATTACCGATGCCGATGTGATAACTGCATTGCAATGAAGATTCTCAAGTGAGAACACAGAGAGAAATATAATTAATATCTTAAATATGTTTTAGCGAATTGATTAAGAGTCTTTTATAACAAATTATTATGCTTATTAATAAAAACAAGCCAAAGATTGCAGGTTATCGATTTAGTATGCAACACTGCAATATGCAATACTGCAAACCAATTAAAAGAGACTTTTAGAAACAAATTATCAACTAAGAAGGTTAACCTTAATGTTTAACCTTACTATCTAAGTAAAACCTTATTGTCATAGGTTTCTTATCACTTTTTCCATGAAACCTTTAGCTAATTGCTTTCTTATCTAGTGTCCTTTCCAGAGCAGGACAAGCTGCAGCCGAAAGCGGAACTGACCTGCTAACTGATCAGTTGGCGTGTCGTTTACTTGTCATGTGTGTAACCCTCAAAATGCAATTTGTTGTCGCTGCTTTGCAATTTCCTTCCTGTTTCCCCTCACAGATAAATGAATTGCGAGCGTCCAGATCTCATAGTAATTGCGATTGCTATTGCAGTTTGAAAATGCAACTGCCGTTGTCGTTGCTGTTGCTGTTGCTGTTGTTGCGACAAACGAGGTCACTAGACGAAAAGCACTTTCCCGATCAATGTAAATCGGAAGCTGAATTTCGTATTCATGTGTGAGTGTAACAATTTATAAGATTTTAAATTTATAAAAAATTTAAGGCAACACAGCAGGCTGACAAATGCATTGGCCAAATGTTGCTCCTGTCGTGTTGCTGTTGTTAGTATTGCTGTTGCTGTTGCTGGCAACGCAACAAGTTTTCGTGCTCTCTCTCTCCTTGTATCTCTCTCTCTGTCTCTCTCTCTGTGGTGTGTGTGTGACCTGTTGTTGTTGCTATTTGGCTTTTGTTGTTATCGTGCGTACTTGGACCGCTCAATAACGCTCATTGTTGTTGCTGTTGCTGTTGCTGCTGCCGGCGTTGCTGTGTTGCTGCTGCTGCTGCTGTTGCTGCCGGCAGCAAGCGACGAAAAAAAGAGGCAGAAAAATTGAAACGAAAGCAGAGGGTATTTAACCGACCTCAAATCAATTTGCAATTTCAGTCGATCTCCGCGTTGCAGCGTTGCATAGTCGCGTGCGAAACCGAAAAAACCGAAAGTTTAAAAAAAATCAAAAACATTTTCAAACAAAACTTTTCAAGTTTATAGCATATATGCAAAATAAATAGTAAAGCAACAAGTTTTTTTGTGAATGCCTTACGGAAATAGTTGGGAAACGGGCAACAACATCATCAACATCAGCAACCTGAACTGACAAAACGCATTCGAAATTGTTAATTGAACCTTTTTATATATATTTATCAAATCGGTGTCAAGCGCGGCCTAGAAAAATACCTAAAATAAAATAAACTAAAAACCGAAGAAATTCCAAGCACGTTGCAGACAAAATTACGCAAACTATAAAAAACTACAACAGTTTGAACAGCTGACGTTCAATGAACGTTTCAAGTTACACAAATGCAGGCAAAGCTCTTGGCTAATTCGAACTCGAAGTAAGAAAAGAGTCAACTGCAGCCCGGCCACGTTAAGCCAAGCTTTTACCAACTGAACTTGAAAGTGAAAGTGACAGAGAAAGAGAGTGGTAGCGGGAGAGACAGGCGGAGAAAGACCAGGTTTTTATGCTTTTGCTGGAGTGCCTCGAACTACTCAGAGCATCAGCCAAGGTCACAACTTTAAGAGTTACACAGTAATCTCCAGAAAACATAAAAAATATCATGGATACCCCCAAGGATCAGCCCGAGCAGGTGCGTGAGGTGAAGGCCCCGCACGCCGGAGCAGAAGGACACACCTTCCTGGTGACTCCTGTTGCTCCCATTCTTACCGCCGTGCCAGTGATGAAGCCTCGCGAGTCGCCGCCACCCGTCCTACCCCCAAATGAGCCGGAAGACGAGCAGCCATGCTGCAGCTCCCAGGCCGTGGTGCCCATATCCTCGTCCCTGCCCTGCAAACTCCTAAGGCTGCAGGCCAAGCGATCCGCCCAAGCATTGCTTCAGCAGATGGAGTCCCTGGACTCGCAGCTCGGCAGCAGCAACGGCAGTTCCTCGGAGGACACGGCACCCAGTGCTCCGCCCATGTCACCCACGGACCAGCAGCTGGTGGACGTGGGAATGGGCTCATCTATTGGTGATTCTGAGGAGTCGTCCGAGGAGGGCGACGAGCTGAAGCCCCTCGCCGTGGACAACCACATCATGCACGAGGTGGACCTCTCTGAGCGCCAGAGCTCCCCTCCGGCTGTGCTGAGCGAGGCGAACCTGGAGAAGTTCCGCAAACACCACATGGATAACATATATCTTCATCCGAACTTTACCCTGGATGCTTCACCTCCACCTGCAGTGGCTCCTGCCAACTCTCCAGTCCTGGAGGCAAAGCGCACCCATCGCTCCTTCCTGGCCATCAAGAAGGAAAAGGAGGAGGCGCAAGAACAGCAGGAGCACCAGAAGGAGGAGAGCCACGATTCCGAGCCAACCACTCCCCAAGGACCCAACGAGATAGACACCTTAGATCCCTCTCTGATTCCCAGCGAGGACCTAGCGGCCGAGATCACTGAGGCCGTGGAATTCTACTTTTCCAACGAGAGCATCCTGAAGGACGCCTTCCTCCTGAAGCACGTCCGCCGTAACAAAGAGGGCTATGTTAGCCTTAAGCTGGTGTCCAGCTTCAAGAAGGTGCGCCAGCTGACCCGCGAGTGGAAGGTCGTGGGAGACGCAGTGCGTCGTAAGTCGAGGAAGATCGAACTCAATGATTTGGGCACCAAGGTGCGCAGAATCGATCCCCTGCCCTCGTTCGACGAGACCATGCCGTCCCGCACCATCGTGGCCTGCGATCTGCCCATGGATAAGCTGACCATTGAGAAGGTTTCTGATCTGTTCTCGCGTTGCGGAGAGATCGCCCTGATCCGCATCCTGAAGCCAGGAATGGCTATTCCCGTGGACGTGCGGCAATTCATGAACAAGTACCCGGAGCTGCAGCAGAAGGAGTGCGCTCTGGTGGAGTACCTAGAGTCATCATCGGCCCGCGAGGCACGCCACCTGAGCGGTCTCTTCCAGGTGTACGAGATGGTGGCCCCCAAGAAGAAGACCGGCAAGAAGGCGGCCGTCATCCAGATTGCCGCCCCGGTGGCCCGCATGGTGGAGAACTATCGCTACTACAACGACGCCAGCTACGAGAGGAGTCGTGGCGGCAGCTTCTCCGGCCACGAAGCTGTTCCGGATTTGCGCTACAAGCTGAAGCGCAACAACTCTGACTTCCAGCCCACATACTACCAACAACAGCAGCAAATGGCCCCCAGCTACCATGTTCCGTATCAGCACTACCAACCGAGGGGCAGCATTGGGAACCAGAGCGGCCAGGATATGGGTTTTTTCGGCTATGGACCCAGGCGCTACAGCAACACCTCGACGATCTCCGCCAGCACAGCGGCTGCCTTGGGCGATGCCTCGCCTCCATCCTCTGCTGCCAATTCTGGCGGTAATCAAGCTGGGTCATCTGTGGGCATCAGCAATCTCCAGCGGCGTCTGTCGAACTGCTCGGAGCAGAACTATGTGCCGGAGGGCAGTGTCTCCATGTCGCGCCGGGCCAGTAACTGCTCGGAGACAGGAGTTGGAGCTCCCCAGCGTCGCGATTCCAATTGCTCTGAGAGCTGCCCCTGCTCGAGGAGGGTCTCCGACTTTGGCCAGACCACGGAGACGGCCTACCGCAAGAGCTCCGTGTGCTCCAATGGCAGTTGTCCGGGTAACCAGAACCAGGAGCGTCGCTTCTCCAACGGATCCATGCAGTTCGAGCGGACCTTCTCGAATGCCAGCGAGAACGGCGGTTTTTACCGTCGCCCTTCGAATGATTTCAACGTGGAGCGGGAGCCCATCCAGACCGATCAGATGGTGGGCGGTGGTGGCGGTGGCTACCAGGTGTGGCCCCGTCGCTACTCCAACAACTTCCAGCAGCTGAGCAGCAAACTGGCGGCCTACGACAATGCCCAGTACATTGGTGGCCGGAGGATCTCAACGGACTCTGGCTATGATCGCCGCTATTCCTTCGGCTCGGAGGGCTTCGACGGATCACCACGATCCCGGACTGGCAGCTTCCTGAACAGCTACAAGCATGGCGGAGGCGATGGTTATGACGGGCAGCCCCGATCCCGGACCGGAAGCTTCCTGGATGGATCGCCCCGCTCGCGTTCTGGATCCTTCGCCCAGCGGGCAGCTGAGAGTCTGGTCCGCACCCCGATGGGTCCGGACGGAAGCAAGGGTTTCGGCCAGAGGGCCAGGAAATTCGGACAGGCCATATCACCCGTTAACTAGGACGTCCGAGGACATTTGTTGATTAATTTTTAGAGAAAGGATGATTAGGAACACTTTTTTGTAGTACGGGTACTCGTATGTGAAATTTATGGCTGTACACTGTGATGCTGTCCAACTTGTTACACTTTCCCGAACACATACACCCCCAAAACCCCAAGCCCGATCTAGGTTACGAACAGGAACCTGTATAGTTAACGAATTGTAGAATTTTTGAGAGCTGACAGGGGTTGATGTGGAATCCGACTTGCTCTGGGACGTTTTTGTTTTCAAACACTGCCAATAGATTAAGGAAATTCGGTTTCAAACTAAACTTGATTGGTTCTTTAGTGAAATAAGATTATACTTAACCCATTATAGTATTCAATACAATGATCAGTAACCAGTTATATATCGTGCTTAGAAGTAGAGTATGGGCCCAACAATTTTCACAAACTCTCACATGACTTCTATCGCAGTCCAGACGTTTGTATCCTTATGTTGTGTTTTAATATTGTTTTTATTGGATATAAAGCCTAATTAACATGTAAGATAGTCAAAAACCCATTAATCGAACGGCTGCCATAAAAATCAGTTATAGGATAGTGGCCATAATTAACCCGATGCGAGTAATACGGACGTAATTGGAAGAAGGTGCGCCAGATTATCTTAATAAAAATTAGTTTAGAGTCTCAGGTTTTTAGGATTAATAGTCCCAGAGCAAGTCCCAAATCCCCCATTATATTCCACATTTTCCCCTGCTCCGAAACTTTTCCTTTTATTTGTTTTTTATTTACAATCTTTTATTTTCAAATATTATTATAGATAGTTTAATAAATATATTATATTTAGATTGGTTGTCCTCTCGTGTGAAAATTAAACGGAGGAAACAGCAAAGCGGACTATTACAGGAGAGAATAAAAATATTTTTCATTTTTAGCTTTTAATTTCGATTTCTTGTACGGGCATTAATGTCTTTGCGATTGCAATAAATTATATTATGCGTGTTAACCGTAAATAAACTTATTAAAAAAAAAACCACAAAATCGAAAGCTTAATGAACCAATTCGGGGGGACTTGCAGTTGCAATTGGTCTGTGCTGCAGGGGGGAGTGCCATTAACCAACTATGGTGAACTTGAAATGGAGCTTAGCTAACAATTTGCTGTCTTTTTGCCAAATCATTTAACCAATATTGCGCAATCTGCTCGCCAGCTCGAAATTGAAAGCGAAATTCGCGCCACTCGAGAACCGATCCGAAGGTAACTAGGCCAAATAGCCACCAAAAAAAAAAGTGTTCAAACAATATATATATATATATATAGAAAATTAACAACAAATCCCAACCAGTCTGCCTTGCCTGTGAAAGCAACAATTTGAATTTTATTGAATAATATTCGTAATTTTTTTCAATTTACCATAAAAATAAAAACAAAAAAAAAAACGGCGAAACAGTGACATGAGCGTGACGCATGCGCCCCCAACTCGATTTTTTTTTGTGATTTTTACTTTGCGGCGGCAGCGAACTCGCCCGCGGTTCATAATTGTTCATAAAGCGGCCGTTAGCATTGTTATTGCCTTGTTGCCAGCCCCTGGGCCCGAAAAAATTGCGCCCAGAGTACTCCAACCCGCACTCAGACTTGGGTCTTGCCGTGCGTGCGATTTTTTTGCGGTCCCAAGGTATTTGTTGTTCACTTTTCAGTTCATTTCATGTATCTCTCCCCCTCGTTGGTTCGATTTATTAAACAATTTCAATGGCTTATACTGGCTCTCGTACACAAGTGAATAATTTTTTGCACACACGCATCTTGGCAGGCCGCAGTCCGCAGGCCCCACGCCTCGTGCCTCATGCCCGCCCACCGCTTGCCAGCCTGCCTGCAAAAAATCCAAAAATTATAACCCGTTTTTAAGGCGCTTGGCCAGCAGCAATGCAGGCTGAACTAATTGTCGCACAATTTTTCACCGCGTGGGCAACAAAAATGCCAGCCATATAAGATCTAGGCGGTCTAGGCGGTCTCCGGGAAGCATTTTGTGCGTATATTGCATAACATTTTGGAGACTGCGAGCCGGAGGGAGAAAGGATACATGGGTGATTAAACTTCCTGCCTGGCGTTTAAAATTTTATCGAATTCCCTTTTAAATTTATGCTAATTAAACGTGCCCAAACAGGAACCGAATAAAACCGAGCAAAAAAACCAGTCACATTCCCAGTGACTGTTACTCTGTATGTGTTTTCCAGAACTCAAGTCACTTTTTTGGACTCATTAAGTGAGAGTTCATCTCAGGTGATCCGCCAATCGGGGATAATTATAAACTTGCTGAATTATTACCCCTTGAGTATTCATTTTAATCGAGATGAAACCGACCTGCCCGATGACATAATGTATTGGATACTATACTTTTCGTTTTAATATTTTCCTCAGTGCACGGCTGACCTTATATACATTTTTGGCAACATCCCGCTCAGCCTTGAGCCGTCTAAAAACGTCTTAAACCACTCAATGCTTTAATCGCCGGCAGATTTCTAGAACATAGAACGGCGTGCCGTGCGACAGGCCGTCGTCGTATCCGGACCTTGACCGTCATTTTGCGGTATTCGTGGCGACGAGAGATGTTCGGCATTCGTACATAAGCTCTTTGCATGGCCACGGTGCGTATACTTGATTTCCGGAAACTGCACACTCGGCCGACCGGTGGGGTAGGCTCTCCTTCGATAATGCGCCGATTGGCAAGTCATCTTCAAGTTCAAAAGGCACATTGATTATTTTTTTATTTTTCGAATTTATAAATAAAAGTAACCTTAGTCTCGCCTTCCCAATAAAGTGTACTTGAAGTGCGCGTAGAAATTTCCGCACCACATTATTAACGTTGCCAGTCATGTCGTATAAACCACATCATCAGTTCAGTTCGTCAGTATTGATGAAATGCCACATTGTAAGCCAAAATAAGTAAGTATACGCACCGCTGTCTCAATTGCATAAACAACAGCGGCGATGCTGACCTCAACACGTTCGCTGGCTCGTTCTACGCAATTGGCTAAATCAAATAAATAGCCACTTACTCATTAGAAATCAACATGGAGGTGAGAAGATAGCAACACCTTGGACTTCTAAGACAATCAAAGCATTTGGACCAATTCCACAATTCAGCTTCTTTTTCATTTCATTTTCATTAAAGCTCAACTAGCATTCTTTAGACTTTTCAATTTAAAATTAATAATATTAAATTATTCAATTAATATTATTTATAATTAATATCAATGTCAGGGCTCTTAGAACCTTTGCGTGGGTCATTACACTCTCACTTCAGGCAAAAGCCCCCTTACATTTATTTTTACACGGTTTTGTAAATAAAAGCATACCCTAGGGCGCCACATATGTTTTTCAGATAAGTTGGCAGCTCTACAAAGCAGACATTTTCAATTATTCTTATGGCCATCGCAGTGGCCATATTGAGCCTCCATGACTTTTCTCGAATTTTGTAGGGGGTCCTTCAGAAAATTTGACAAAAAATCTAAAAAATAAAAAGTTTCTAGGTTTTAATGCAGATTGATGGAGAATCGATCTACAAATCGTTTAAGGTACTCCGCTCAAGAATCGGATCAATAATGTCGAAGATATAGCTATCGCAGTGGCCCAACTGGAGCCTCCATGACTCTTTTGGAATTTTGTAGGGGGTCCTCCAGAAAATTTGACAAAAAATCTAAAAAATAATATGTTTCTAGGTTTTAATGCAGATTGATGGAGAATCGATCTACAAATCGTTTAAGGTACTCCGCTCAAGAATCGGATCAGTATTGGCAAAGATATAGCCATCGCAGTGGCCCATATTGAGCCTCCATGACTTTTTGGAATTTTGTAGGGGGACGTCCGAAAATTTGACAAAAATCTAAAAAATAATAAGTTTCTAGGTTTTAATGCAGATTGGTGGAGAATCGATCTACAAATCGTTTAAGGTACTCCGCTCAAGAATCGGATCAGTATTGGCAAAGATATAGCCATCGCAGTGGCCCATATTGAGCTTCCATGACTTTTTTGAAATATTGTAGGGGGTCCTCCAGAAAATTTGACAAAAAATCTAAAAAATAATAAGTTTCTAGGTTTTAATGCAGATTGATGGAGAATCGATCTACAAATCGTTTAAGGTACTCCGCTCAAGAATCGGATCAGTATTGGCAAAGATATAGCCATCGCAGTGGCCCATATTGAGCTTCCATGACTTTTTTGAAATATTGTAGGGGGTCCTCCAGAAAATTTGACAAAAAATCTAAAAAATAATAAGTTTCTAGGTTTTAATGCAGATTGATGGAGAATCGATCTACAAATCGTTTAAGGTACTCCGCTCAAGAATCGGATCAATAATGTCGAAGATATAGCTATCGCAGTGGCCCAACTGGAGCCTCCATGACTCTTTTGGAATTTTGTAGGGGGTCCTCCAGAAAATTTGACAAAAAATCTAAAAAATAAAAAGTTTCTAGGTTTTAATGCAGATTGATGGAGAATCGATCTACAAATCGTTTAAGGTACTCCGCTCAAGAATCGGATCAGTATTGGCAAAGATATAGCCATCGCAGTGGCCCATATTGAGCCTCCATGACTTTTTTGGAATTTTGTAGGGGGACGTCCGAAAATTTGACAAAAAATCTAAAAAATAATAAGTTTCTAGGTTTTAATGCAGATTGGTGGAGAATCGATCTACAAATCGTTTAAGGTACTCCGCTCAAGAATCGGATCAGTATTGGCAAAGATATAGCCATCGCAGTGGCCCATATTGAGCTTCCATGACTTTTTTGAAATATTGTAGGGGGTCCTCCAGAAAATTTGACAAAAAATCTAAAAAATAATAAGTTTCTAGGTTTTAATGCAGATTGATGGAGAATCGATCTACAAATCGTTTAAGGTACTCCGCTCAAGAATCGGATCAATAATGTCGAAGATATAGCTATCGCAGTGGCCCAACTGGAGCCTCCATGACTCTTTTGGAATTTTGTAGGGGGTCCTCCAGAAAATTTGACAAAAAATCTAAAAAATAATATGTTTCTAGGTTTTAATGCAGATTGATGGAGAATCGATCTACAAATCGTTTAAGGTACTCCGCTCAAGAATCGGATCAGTATTGGCAAAGATATAGCCATCGCAGTGGCCCATATTGAGCCTCCATGACTTTTTTGGAATTTTGTAGGGGGACGTCCAGAAAATTTGAAAAAAAATCTAAAAAATAATAAGTTTCTAGGTTTTAATGCAGATTGGTGGAGAATCGATCTACAAATCGTTTAAGGTACTCTGCTCAAGAATCGGATCAGTATTGGCAAAGATATAGCCATCGCAGTGACCCATATTGAGCCTCCATGACTTTTTTGGAATTTTGTAGGGGCACGTCCAGAAAATTTGACAAAAAATCTAAAAAATAATAAGTTTCTAGGTTTTAATGCAGATTGATGGAGAATCGATCTACAAATCGTTTAAGGTACTCCGCTCATGAATCTGATGAGTATTGGCAAAGATATAGCCATCGCAGTGGCCCATATTGAGCCTCCATGACTCTTTTGGAATTTTGTAGGGGGTCCTCCAGACAATTTGACAAAAAATCTAAAAAATAATAAGTTTCTAGGTTTTAATGCAGATTGATGGAGAATCGATCTACAAATCGTTTAAGGTACTCTGCTCAAGAATCGGATCAGTATTGGCAAAGATATAGCCATCGCAGTGACCCATATTGAGCCTCCATGACTTTTTTGGAATTTTGTAGGGGGTCCTCCAGAAAATTTGACAAAAAATCTAAAAATAATATGTTTCTAGGTTTTAATGCAGATTGATGGAGAATCGATCTACAAATCGTTTAAGGTACTCCGCTCAAGAATCGGATCAGTATTGGCAAAGATATAGCCATCGCAGTGGCCCAACTGAAGCCTCCATGACTTTTCTGGAATTTCGTAGGGGGTCCTCTAGAAAATTTGACAAAAAATCTCAAAAATAATAAGTTTCTAGGTTTAAATGCAGATTGATGGAGAATCGATTTACAAATCGTTTAAGGTACTCCGCTCAAGAATCGGATCAGTAGTGGCGAAGATATAGCCCTCGCAGTGGAGCCTTTATGAATTTTTAGAACGGCCTTGTAAAATAATTATTATAGACGTTTTTTTTGGTTTCTCAGGTATCCCTCGTTACATTATTGATATATTAATAATTCCAAAAATAATCCCCTGAATAAAAAGATAAAACATTTAACTTTTTGATTGATTTTGTGCTAAGTATTTTTATTCCATTTGTTATTTTGTAATACTTTTGTCTTTTTGGAGCAAACAAACAAATTTAACTACATTGGCTTGAGGGGAGTTACTTAATTGGGCTCATGGGGGGCTAAAGGACTAAGGGACTAAGGGTCTAAGGGACTATGGACTAATATATTTTTAATATAGCTTTCCATATCGGTTAACTTAACATTCTTAGGTCTTTTGTTGTGTTTATTTTGTCCGTAGCTTGCTAATTAATTAAGGTATTTTGACTAACAATTAAAATGTAATCGAGGTACTATTTAAATTAGACATTAGCTAATGCTCATAATTTGCTTTTCATTTATCTCTTTGTGCATGCAATTTGACTATTTAGGGTTTTGTTGGACCGCTCCTTTAGACCAGGCTAATACTAAGACCCTGCGGCAGCCGCAGTCCGGCCAAGTGGATCGAAGCTGGTTGTTGGTGGGAAAGTTGGTGGCTGTTGCTGTTGCGGTGGCTTTGTGGCTCCAGTGGCGCTTCCTGTTCCGGCACCACTTCCAGTTCCTGTTCCATGTCCTCTTCATGCTCCTCTGCACTTTCCTCCCCCCTCTGATCTTCTTCTGATTGAAGTTCCTCTTCCCTTTCCTCATTGGTAACCGGATAGCTGAGGCAGCGTCGCACTCTTGTTGTTGCGGGCAGAACTTCGGATATGGCGCTATCGAATTCCAGCAGTACCTCGTCCTCGTCCAGGACTCGCGTCCAGCGCGGTCTCTCTTTGGCGGGACTCATGATCTGTGGGGGACGTGGCGGGTTGCAGGAGGTGGAGGAGGAGTGGCTGGAGGCAGATGGCTCCTCTCGACTGAGCGTGGTTCCCAGTCGGCGGAACATGGACACAACCTTGCCATCCACACTGGGCTGCGGGAATCTTTGGTAGGCGTTGAGGCTGGGCTGTGCCACGGACGGAGGTGCTGCCGCCTCCTTGACTAGTCGGGCCTCAGCTGGCTTCCTCCGGGGCGCCACACACTGCACCTTGCAGAGCACGTTGTTGCGCCTCTGATTGCTCCTCAGGTAGACGAACACCGACTGCTGGCTCCGCTTCTTGGGACTCCGCCGCAGGGTCTCCAGACAGCACTGCCTCAGGATGCGGCTCATCCGGCTGACCGAGGCGCTGTTGCTGCGGCGGCTGCTCCTCCGCTTCGCATAGGTGATCGGTATGGCGGCGGGTGTGGCGGGCACTTGGGGCTGGGGCTGAGGCTGGGACTGGGGCTGCACCCGCACCTGCGGCCGTACCATCGCCACGGGACGCAGCTTGGTACGCTCCTGCTGCAGGACACTGCTGCTGTTGCCCATGTGCGAAGGACTCTGGCTCTGGCTCTCGGCCTCATTGCTGTTGACCGCCTGCAGGGAGTGCCAGTTGATGAGCCAGTTGTTGCAGCTGAAGCATAGGAACTTGTCCTCGTTCAAAGGCTGTAAGTACAAGAGAAGAGAGTTGGTTAGTTGGAGGATCATTACAGCATTAGGTCTAACACATTGCATGTCCTGCAATTACAAGTCAGGCGTAACCACAAAATAAACCTTCCGATACGCCTATGCACTTAGCTGGTCAATCCCCGGACCCAACCACTAATGAGCATCGAATCCTCTCAGCCAAAAAGGTGCAAAAACCTACATAACAATTTCAAAAACAACTGCCAGACCATGCAGGCATATTAATTACCCGATGGAGCCGGCCAGACCTCAGAGCATTCCTCGGGTATCAATAATTTGCGGTGCACCTGCCAACGAAAACTAAGCGCCCAACGGCACACCGTAGCGGCAGCTGCCGTTGGCCCAAAAGGCACTCAAAGGCCAAAAAAAAAAAACCAGTCGAAAGCCAAAAGGGACAAACCCGTTTCTCCGATCGCCACGCGCTCCTCTCCGAACTGGGTTAAGATCAGGCAACAACTATGACGGATATTAGGCACGCGCAGGCGCGACAGCTGCTCGAGGCCATTAGATAAGGGTAAGGACTGGCACAGGGAGAGGGGGTGGAGGTGGAGGTGGCGATCAGGACTGGTTAAGGGTAGCCAGGATCAGGAGCGATTGTTTGCCTGGTTCTCCGATGAAAAGGTGTTCTCCAAGGGCCATGTGTAAACGGTATAATAATGCAAATTGCAGGCCAGGTGCAAGGCAGACAGAAAGCCACACACACGCGAGCTATAAAAACAAAAACACTGAAAGAAAATGCATAGTTTTAAGAGCTCATATCACAAGAGCTTGATATGCCAAAGAACTATGTATTTTTTCTCTGTGTGGCAAACAGCTACATTAGATAAACAACGATTGCAACTGGAGTTTACTCTAGATGTCTGTCATTGAGGGCTGCGTGGGCGTAAAGCCCTATAGGGGTGATCGGTTGCCGGGCTACGATCGCGGCAGGTGGTGTATATATATTTGTGTACTCTGTGTACATATGATTTCGCAATAACAGTTCAAAGTAATTTCTAACGATCGTAGGGATGAAAACTCACCCTCGAGGGGTTTATTATTATTTCAATTTTTATAGAATATTTATCAAGCAAAGACCGCAAAGACCCTAAACCAAAGGAAATTTTAAAACTTAATAAGACTTCCCCCACTTTGGCTGTTCTGACCCATTTCTTTGTTTTCTAATCCCCGGGAAGCCTTAGAAAATACTTTCCCTTAAAATAGTAGACTAGATGAAGACCCTCAAATCGGAGTCCTAACTTTGTTTTCTTTTCAGCACTTCAAGGACTTCCAAACTAGGCTCTGGCCTAGCCTCTGGCAATTTCAATTCAAATTACATTTCTTTTCGGGGGGTTAGAACTTTTGTTTGGCATTTTTGAGCAACTCAAGAAACCGGTATTCCTTTTGGCATTGTCCTTAGATTCCACCACCAGTGATTCCTCTAATACAATAAGGAGGAAATCCAGGTATATGCCATACCATGCTGATATGCGAAAAAAAACCCAAACACAAACTCAAAACTGAGAAAAAGGTCTCACGAGGTGATAAAGCAGCAGCAGTAGAGGATCAGGGAACCCTGATGGGTTGGAGGTTTCGAGACCCGATCGGCAAATACAGCTGTCGCTCTTTTTGGAAGAAGTTGAGGTAGAAATCTATAAGGTAACAGAGACAGCAAGAGTGATGCAGAGAGAGAAGGAGAAGAAAAGGTTCATTCACTGCCCGCAGAAATTGGAGCAATCTCGGCTCCTTGGCAAAATCCACCGCACATCTGCCCTTTTTCGAGCAGGTTTGTGGAGAAGTACCCTGCTCAGTACAGGTAGTACAGAGTGCCGGGTGTAACACGAAACCCAAAACTCACTTCCACAGAAACAACAAACGCAGGATCTTCGACCAGGATCGATTTCCATGGCTCATCATCTTCCGCTGTTTCATTTCCCACCACATCGCATATTAGAACAAGCTGTTGGAAATTATGGATGGGAAAGGAATCGAACTAAGTGCCGGGACATGTGAAAAGGATCCAATTACAGAGGTCTGCGAGGTCTCGGGAAATGCACCAGCTGCTGTTAACAACAGGATATGCAGCTCAAAGGACAATCAATAAGTCCACAAATATTCAAATTATTTCTCCGTGTGTGAGGCTGTGGCGGAGCTACCTTTACCTGGGCCCCTTGCAACAACAGCAACTTTTCCGCCCAACGAAGTTCATCCCCTTTTAACCCAAAAACACACACACACTCTCACACGGAAAATCACAAACACACACACACACAAGCAGAAGGCAAACACAGGAACTTTTCTCGAAGGACGTTGTAACGGTACGTACGGATGTATGACTCATCCGACGAGTTGCCCCAATATCGATTTTTGTGTTGCGTCTGTGCTTTTTGGGATGAAAAATCCATACCTGGAACTTGAATTTCGCCTGGATTAGCTGGACGATGTTGGGGCCGGAGCGCGGCTCATAGATATTGATCGTCTGGTTGGTGTGGCATCCACAGATGAGGCAGGTGCGCTTCAGGTATTCCGATGAGGCCGAGGGGGCGGCCACCGCGGCGGCGGCATGCTCCGCCTGCTGGTGCTGATTGTTCGCAGACATCCTGGCGACTAAGCTCCTGGCTCCTGACACTGGGCTTCTGGCGAATTTTCCTCCTCACAGCCACTGACGTCACTAATGGTCACGTTAACTGATTTTCGGTTTTCTCGTATTTTGTTTTTGTGTGTTTGGTTGTTTTTTTTTTGTGTTTTTGGGGTGGCGCGAAATGTGGCAAACAACAAAAAAGGTAACAGCCCGGCGAGCGAGAACGAGAGGGCGGTTTTAATGGCGAGTGAGCAAGCGAGACGGCAACTGACGGAGCGGCACGTCCTTCGCGTTGCACGCACAAATTTCGAATGAGGCAGGAACGGTGTTCCAAGCGCACACGAAGTGGCATTCAGCAGGCTCACTTACCGCCCTCGGTTTCGGTTAGGGTTTCGTGCCTCTGCCGACAGCCCGACTGTGTTGCCTGAGTGTCCTCCACTGAGAGAAATGTGAGGCAGGGAGAGTGCCACAGAATGGCCAACACATGTTCACATTTAATAGGGATATATGGATAATGAAGATAAAGGATGATACTAGGATATCCAATAGAGGAACGAGGAGGTCTATTCACAAGATATTAGGTTTATTCAAAGACTTTATTAGGAAGATGATTTTATGACAATAAGAGTTTTATTTTTATTATTTGGAGGGTCATAGCCATTATAAAATATTAAAAAAAAAATTTTTTTTAATTGAAAAGTAAACCAGTTAGGAAATTGGAATAACTAATACTACTAAGAGATATCTAACTCATTTATTTAAAATGTTTCTTACCTAAACTCTTAATGTAATATTTTTAAATTCCAAATCCTTTAATCTAATATCTAAATAGTTATTTTTAATACCCCGTATACCCCCTATTATAATAATAATCTATATAATATTTAATTTTATATCCTTTAAACATCCTTTTTCCCTTCAGAGTCAAGGCTTCCAGTTATTTTAACAAACCACTGACCTATCTGAACTTTCAGGACTCGAGTTACCTCTTCCTGTTGACACTTTGCGTTCGGGGCAGACCCCCCTCTCAGATAATAGGTTGTGGCAGCTGCCGCCGATCGACAAAATCCGAGTTTAATGCGAACGGCTTCCTCAGCTACGACTTATCATTATGGAAGACGCACTGGCTCAATGCGTGTGCATTGTGGGCTCATCAACAGGCTGCCGACTGTCGTCTCGAGTCCACATCCCGGACTCCTCCGACTCCTCTGATCTTGAGGCTACACCTCCAAAACACCGACACTGGCAGCTGCTCCAAAATACAAAAGGTGCGTTTCGGTTTTTAGTATTTTGTTGTTTCTTTTTTTTCTTATTTTTTCGGGCAGCTCAATCATATGTTGTTCTCCGGTGTTGTAGCTCATTTTGAGCCGGTGTTGCAGCTTGCAACCGGATTTCTGTCGTGCGACAGATGTTTCTTATGTTTTTTTCTTGCTCCGCAGGTACCTTCTTCGTCGTTTTGCACCTTTTGGTTTTTTTTTGGATTTTTTGACTGGGTTAACTGGCGCTGCTTTTACGAGTACTACGCATATCTCTGGCGATTCTGCTGTAGTAAACAAAGGAGTAAGGAGTAAGGCTTTGGAAAGGGAATCGGAACCCTTATGAATGAAAATATGAATGGCTGGGTTGGTGGGGGACAGGAAGACCAGGAGGATGGGAGAGGGAAAGCAGCCGATTTTCTCGCCATATGCGTAGCAAATTTCCATATCGATCTCTGACTAGGCAGCGGAAGTCCTTATGAGAGGTAACGGTAATTAGGGATCCTCAGGGGGCCCTAGTATGACTCTTCCAACTTAATAAAGTTATATGCGATCTTTTAGAGGAATAAATTGAACGATTTTCAGATCAATTCCCCTTCATTCTGCATCAAAACATTCTCAATATCAATCTATATTTTTAAAATTTTTCTGATGGAACCCCTTGCAAAATCCTGGATTCTCATATATGGCACCTTCCAATGTCTATATTTTAGCTATTACACATCCGATCCTTGAGCGGAATACCTCAGACGATTTCTATATTTATTTCCCGTCAAAATACAATTTTCAATATTCAATATTCTGATAGAACCCTAACAATAGGTCCTAACAACCCTAACAGGATAAAATATATATCTTGCCACCTTTTCTACATTTTCTAGCGCCACCTTGTGGCTTCCATTCGCACAAAAAGAGACGTAGTTGTAATTTCAAACACAAGCTGGCGCTGCTGTAGATTTATTATTATACCCTTGCAGAGGGTATTATAATTTTGGTCAAAAGTGTGCAACGCAGTGAAGGAGACATCTCCGACCCTATAAAGTATATATATTCTTGATCAGGATCACCTCCTGAGTTGATATGAGCATGTCCGTCTGTCCGTCTGTCCGTCTGTCCGTCTGTCTGTCCGTCTGTCTGTCCGTCTGTCTGTCCGTCTGTCTGTTTCTACGCAAACTAGTCTCTCAGTTTTAAAGCTATCGTCTTGAAACTTTGCACACACCCTTCTTTCCTTTGCACGCAGTATATAAGTCGGAACGGCCCGGATCGGCCGACTATATCCTATAGCTGCCATATAACTGAACGATCGGAAATGACCCAACTTTCGTGTTTTTGATGATAGAAAGCTGGCACTTGGTACACATTCTATTTTTGGTCAGTTAATCCGATCTACCAAATTTCATAACGATCGGTTGACTATATCTTATAGCTGACATATAACTGTACGATCGGAAATGGTTTTTGGTAGAAATACCAACTTTGGTATTTTTGAAGATAGAAGCTTGAGACTTTTTTAGATTTTGTATTGTAATAAATTGGATTATATATTCATATTCCCATAAGGATCGGCCAACTATATCCGATTTTTGCGATATATATCCGGTTTTAGCTGCAAGGGTATATCAACTTCGGCTCCGCCCGAAGTTAGCTTTGCTTTCTTGTTTTAAATTAAATCAAATATATTTTCAAAACTAACATTAACAAAAGGCTTAAAAAAATTATTTTAAAAATTTAAAAACACTTACTTTTAAAGCCTGCTTTAAATGTTACCGACTCATCAGTAAAATTGATGTATTAAAAACTCCATTAACTCGAACTCTATAATTTACATTTTAAAGTTCATAAAATATTACAAATTTTAATATTTAATAAAACTCTGCGTGATTTTTTTTTATTATATTTTTTTTTATTATATTTTTTTTTATTATTTATAATTTTTTTTTTCCAAAATGTTGTTTTAAAATAGGTTTTATTAATGATGAATTTACCCCTCCAGTTTATAAGGTTTTAAGTTCTGCAACCAATAATTCATAAACTTAAAAATATTCTTGATGAAACTCTTGAAGTATTAAAAAAAACGCATTTGATTAAATCGAAACCTTAAAAAGGTTAACTATCAAAGAATCCATCTTCACAGTCATCACCCGCTGCCGAATCCTGACCTTCTTCTTGGACATCGGCCGCCTCTCAAGTCTCGGCGAGATGTAGGACACGTTTCTCACGGTTGTGAGTGCGTGTGTGTTATCCCGCTGCTGAGAACCCAAGTGGAAACAAAAATTGGGAATTGTGATTTTTTTGCATTCTCGAATCCGCCAGGCACCTTGGGAGTGATCGCGCCCCTTTGGACCCCCCATACGCACGTGCGAAAGTCGGCTATAAAATAATTGACTTGACTTTATAATTGCAACAGGCTGAGAGGGTTCCGTGGCTCTTTGGTGGTTGGTGCTTTCGATTCTTATAGCTTATAGCGGTCGCCTACTGTGAGGTAGCGGCATGGGCTCGCAACTCCTTGAAAGGCACCCAGAAACGTTCGCGATTGGTGCCGACGAACAGGGTCTCTAGGGGATGGAAGGCGAGCATGTAGCAACCCCCTTGGGTATAGCTTCACCACTGATAGATGGATGGATGGATGGATGGTCGAAGGACTGGGACTGGGAGTGCTTGGGTGGCTGCTGGGCACCGCTTCTTGCCTCAGCCACTCTCCCTTTCTCAGTCTCTTGCTCCGTCTCCGTCTCTCTCTCTCTGGGCGACTGCGCACTAGGAGTAACATTTTGTTTTAAGAGCTTCTGTTTTGATGGCACATTTTGGGCCAAACAAACTGGCAGAATTCAGTCAGTTGCCGACTCTCAAGGCGCCAGGATATCCGCAGCGCTTGCCCAACAGGATTTTAAGCCCAAGACACCGCAAAACCAAAACAAAACGCTTTGGCGCGAAACGGAAACCGGAAACTATAGTCCAAAACGGACATTCCTAAAAAAAATAACTATACGGAAACAGTGATTTAAATAAACATTCTGGCCATGTCCCGACGCAAACAGGCCAAGCCGCGCGCCTGTCTCAAACGTAAGTGGTCAGAAAGTGGTCGGTCGGTGGTCGCTGCTCGCTGCTGGCCGGTGGCCGGTGGGCAGAGATGCAGAGTCCCCAGTGGCCACCAACTGACATGGACTCCATTTCCATGAGTGTTCTGTGTGAGCGTGAGTGTGTGTCTGTGCATCTGATTGATTTGCTTTGATAAACCCCCAAAAGGGTGGAGGGGCCACAACATTACTCTGCCAAACTTTGCTCGCGGGACCACAAAATGTGACAAATGCAAATGGCCTCGGCCTGTGCCGGCCCAACCTGGCCCACCGTCCGGTTGGGTATTTGTATTGCCATTGCTCCAGTTCGTACATCGGCCCGTCCGGAGCTCTGGGTCCGGGCCTGGGTCTGGGTCTGGGTCCGGGTTCTCACAGCCAAAGCCATTCCAGCGACCAGGCTGCAACCCAGCAGCTTGCAGGCATCGGCCAATCCCCTGGGACCAGCACACCTAACTGTCAGTGATAGAGAGCGAACGAGCCAGTGCTGAGGGGGGTGGGAGGGTGAGGGCGAGTGCTGAGGGGACTGGGGAAAAGGAGGGGGGCCAACTGGTTGAGAGACAGGGAGGCAGGTGTTCTGGGGCCAAGAGACCCTGAAAACCTAAACAAAACCCCCAGCATGAGGTTGAAACATTGAGTGTTCTGGTGAACCAACAAGTAAATGGATAAATAATACAAAACAAAACGAATTTTAAGATACACTAGGGTTGATCAAAACTAAAATTAAAAATCATAAAGTTCTTAGAATAATTTATAAACCATAAATAATACATTATTCAAAGTAAATAGAACTATTGGTAATATTGGTAATAATATTATTATTTCTGATTTTAATAATCTTTAGAAAACCCTTTTTTATATCTCCAATAATAAAATAAGCCTCCTTCTAGTTTCCCTACATAGCTCATACGCCCCGTGGTACACCCCTATTCATAGGCGGACCATAAAAATCGTTTTAGCCAAAAACGCAGTTTGCAGTTTAAAAATTTCTGTGATCTGGCCAGACGGGGTTAGAGATTCGTTTTTGGGGGGGTTTTGGGTTTCGGTTCCATTTACTGTTATGCGGCCGGGCCAAGCCAAGGCAACCAAAGTGCCGTTAATTTTTAATACAATTTCGAATTGTGTCAGTGTAAATAACAGCAGAGCAGTAGCAGCGCCAACAACAATGATAACAAATAAAATTGACAATAAATCCAATGCACACATGTGCATGTGTGTGGGTGGTTAGGCTAGGAGTTGGGTGGCGTGAGGGGGGGCAGCTAAGGGGATCTGGTCCGCTCGAAGCCCCCAAAGACACACACATATGTACATACACATACACACACAAATACAGAGACAAAGAGATATCCTCATGCTGGGGCATGAAAATTTCCCCAACGTATAAAAAAGCGAACTTTGGCTTGCTCTTTTCCTGCTATCTCCGTCCCGCTCTCGCTCTGGCCAATGTGTGTGTGTGTGTGTGTGTGAGTTGGTGGGGCGAGGACGCGAGGGGCGCGCGAAAAAAAGCACAAAACACAGAAAACCCATTGCCATGTATTTCTCAGGGGAGTCGGCAACGGCTCTCTGGCCAATCCCCAGGAGAAAAGCGACGACGAGCAACGAGGCAGCCAGCAACAACAACAACAGCAGTAGCAACAACAAACATGCGCCAACTCCCTGGGGATTTTTCATTTGTTGACGACGTTGCCAGCCAGTTTGCATTTATATATGTTTGTTTGTTTGTAGATTTTCTAGGTAGATATATACTTACATATCTATTATATAGATATATAGGTGAAAATCAGAGTTATTTTTATTGACAACCTACAACAACACACAATAGCTAATGTTGTGTCATCTTTTTCCATAAAAAAGGACATTTTCCGCTTTGATTTTTTTACGAACTAGTTGGGAACCTATCAAAATTATACAGTGGTTAAAAAAAGTCTACACAAATCATGTTAAATGTTATTATATTATATTCAAAAGTTCAACAAAATATGAAAATAAAAGATAAGTAAGGTTAGTTTTTGCTAGGTTGCCATCCTAGCCACAAAAATACATGTTTGAACCTGTTTGAACTTTAATGCCAATCACCACTTTTGTTAAATTAAACTTGCTACTAAAATAACAACAAAACTAAACTGGGTAAGGTGCATACTTTTCGTTAACACTGTCTACCATAAAATACTTTAAAATGCCGGCTTCTGTTGTGGAATTCCCATAGCTAGGCAAAAGGCTTAGGATTCCAGCTGCCATAAGTTGTCGTTGCCTTCTTTTGCTCCTTTCGATCCTTTCGCCACCCCCTGCGCCCCCTGCGCCAACGGCTGAATCCTTGCCCTCCCTTTGGATTCACCTCATCGTCAACGTGAGCACGGGTCCTTGGAGTATTGGCGAAATATTTGCCATTGCACAGCGAAAGCGCGCCAAAAATAGCAACAACGGGGAGCAGAGCCATGGCGGAGAGCATCGGGATCAGGACTACTATGAAAGCTGGAAGCAGTAGCAGCGGGAATCCGCTGTGGGCATAGGCCATGTGCAATGGCTTCTGCTGGCATATAATGTGGGATATTGGCTGCGTCTAACGGTAACTAGTTTGGTAAATAGAATTTGCTCTAGGCGATGACTGTATATGTGTGTGGGTTAGGGACTAGTCGGGTGGTTTGGGAAATTGGGTGGGGGTCGGGAGGCAAAACAGGGTCGTAAGGTGTCTGGGGATATTCTTGGAGGCAACACTAAAAACGACATCAGCGTCGGTGGTGGCATTTTGACAGCTCTGTGGATTCCTTAACACTCACAACTCACACCCACACCCCCATACTCATTTAAGCTGTGGCTTAAAGGTTTTAGTTTTAAGGAGAAATAAACTAAATTAAAGAAATTAAATGTATGAACTGTCTTGGTCTGAAATGAAAAAATTGCGAGCTTGTTCCTGCCTCGTGTGGCAGCCTCTGACATTTATCTCTTGTGTTCTGCAAACTATTGATAAAATTTATTGTTGGCGCTTTTAACAACACGTTCGGGTTTGTTATTTCATTATTTTTTTAATACCACACACACACACACACACACACACATGTGGCAGATACACTCGCCAGCGAGCCATTATAAAAGTTGCAAGCGCGCTTTGTTTTGGCCAACACCCACCCCCCAACCGCCCTATTCCCATCCCAGTACCAATCCGACCGATCCCACCCCCCGATTCACCTCCCAAGCTGCTCACTGGTGCCCTCTACACACGCTTAGTAGCCGTTTGGGAGCTGGAAAAGTGGCAAGCGTTGGGGTATTGGGGCAAATGGCGGGCAAAGGGAGATGGGAAAAGCGGAAAAGCCATCAGGGGGTGTAGGGCAGTGGCAGTGGCAACGGATTGATGGGTCAAAGGGGACGACGCTTATTATTACGTTTACAAATAAGTGTGCATGTGTGTGCTCCGTACTATACTACATGTGTGTGTGTGGCAGCGTGCACCTTTTTGTTGGTGGTGGTGGGGGGGCGTGGATGTTTGAGTAAAACGCTTAAAAACATGCCATTGCCGAAAAACAAGTAAGAAACACTCACACAGCAGCAGACATACCACTTATTCCCCCCCAAAAAACCCCCACACTCATACACACACACAAGTAAACTCCAGGATGAGAGAGAGAGAGAGATGGCAACCCAGCGACCGAGTGCGAAATGCACTCTGGGGGGCTTTAAACAAAAATGAAAATCGCTTGCATACATATGGGCGCTTACACACACACAGAAGCTTGCTCAACGCTCACACACACGTGCACTTAAAAAAAATGGCTATACTTTTGTCAGAAAAAGATTTATTTTATAAAGAAAGAAGATTTTTCAAAATTTATTAAGCTTAGTTACAAACATGTTTGGTTTATTATATTTCTTTAAGATATCCTATTTATTTCTCTTAGTGTACCTATATCCTTTTTGGCTTGCACAAAAAGAACTTGACTCGTTGCTTCTTGCGTTGTTGTTGCGGTGCTTCGACAATTTTAACGACCATAACTGGTTCTCACCCTGTTCGCTTTATTTTCGCTGCTCTCCGCCCGCCGCCCGGCTCCCCAGCCCCTTCGCCACTCGCATTTATTTTAAAATACGCGGCACTTCCGCCGCAAACGGCACACAGTTGCCCACAGTCCCTCCCCTGCTCCTCCTCCTCATCCTTCATCCCGGCTTTTCATTCAGCACCCAATACCACCACCACCTCGCCGTCAAGTGGCTCCAACCGTATTCGACTCCTTTATATGGAAATAATAACCAAATGTTCTTGCCTCCCCGAGTCTCTTGCCTCTTGCCTCCACCCCGCTTCCGGTACCCCTTTTTTTGCTGCCCCCATTATGGTGACCATACCCATGCATAATGTTCATTTCCATGGCGATTCCTTGCGGTGTGATTCCGGCTTGTCCTTTTCGGCCATATATTTTAAGTCCTTACCTTCCTCGCGGTCACCAATACGAAATGGTCACGCGTCGCCTCCCGACTCCATTCAGCATACTCCTTGCTTGGAGGATATCCTCTGGCTTGGCTGTGATGTCCTCAAGATATCATTTACTAAAAAAAGGTATTAATATTTTTTATATATATTTACAACTATTATAGAATGGGAATTATTGTCTAAAGTTTAAAGTTTTATTTATATTTTAATCCTCTCCTTGTGAATGATTTCTTTCATGCGGCTAACCCATTCGAAAGTCACAACATTCGTCTTGCTCACACCTGGCCACCACCTCTTGGCATCACAGGTGACTGGAGAAATGTATGAAAAATTCAATTTAATTGCGCAATTACACATGTTACACATTTCCATTTGGCTTCGGCTTCTGGCTTCTGGCTGGCCCCTCCCCTTTTTCGCTGTTGCACCCTTGGAATTACTTTTGAGGCAGAGCACTTTGTTACCCCACTCGTTCCTTTTATTTGGAGGCGAAACGACACCCACATGGCCCCGGGCAGATGCCATCGATCAGGTGGCGGCTTTGCCAGAATAGCCGGCCAAGGAGTCTGAGTTTTGAGCTATTGGCTAGGTAAGGGGAACAATAAAACACGGAGCGTGTAAATAGAATTTTTGGCCCGATGGCCGCCCGGGGAGTGCTTTGGCATAATCTGCATGATCCGGTGGATCCGGTGGTGTGTATATAGTCCAGGATAGCACCCGATGTCTGCTATGTCTACGATGTCTGCAATTTGTGCGAGTCGATGTCGATGGCTTGGCAATTGATTATCTTTAATTTGTTGGCCTTTATTTTTATCTTAATCAGGATTTTGGTTGCCATATTTTTGCAGTTGGCGAAAAAGACGATGAGGAGAACACTGGAGGGCTGCTGGAGCCCAAGGAGGAGCTGCTGAGTGGCGACGAGGAGAACGAGGATAATGAGGATGAGGACGAGGAGCTGGGGCCCGATGAGGAGGTGCCCGAGGGAGGGGAGCAAGCCACCCAGTTCGGGTCCAATGAATCACAGCAACAACAGCAACACCAACACCAAAGCTGGCCAACAGCTGATGAGCCGGTGGCCCCACTTGCAGTGGCAAAAGAAGAAGCAGAGGATGCAGAAGCCGAGGCAGAAGAACTACAACACCCACGGGATGGGGCAGCTGCATCCGATGCTGCCGTTGCCGCCACTGATGCTGCCAATGCCAACGGACACTGCAAGTCCTCTGGTAAGTTTGACTTCAATTTGCATATTTTATTGCCTCTAGCCGAAAGATATATCCATCTATATATATACGTATGTATATCCAGTATGTGCAAGGATATCTGTATGTAAACTAACCGAATATCCTCCGGCTTGGCCGTCGTCTTGGCCTTTCCCCTTGGGTCGTTCACATGTCCGGCTAATAACTCTCGACAGTCTCATAAATAGCAAATGTAAGGTTTTTGCTCCTGTCCGGAGTTGACTCATCCAAGGCACAACCGCATCCTGGCCCTTGGGCCCCGGAGACTGGACACTGGACACTGGACACGTGACTCGGTGACTCCTCCATCTGCCAGGTTGTGAGGTCTATTTTGGTGTCTTAACTGTGACGGTTTAAAAGTGAGGAGTTCTCTGGGTTAATGCATTACTGTGAAAGGGTTTTCAAACAGGGTGTTTCATATTCCATATAGTATATGGTTATGACTTATGAGATATATGATTAACTGTTTTATATGATTCTTTATTCATCGTGTAACCTGTAGGCAATTTATTTCCCCTGTTCGATTCAAAACAAACCCTGTATATCGGGCATTTCCCCATTGGATCCGCTGCCTGGTCACATCAACTTTGATGTCTCCACGAGGCCCCATACACGCACACATCCGCATCTCCATTCGAGTGTACGAGTGTGTGAGTGCGCCATGTATTCGGTATTCCTGTGCGTCATTGGATTATGGCACTTGGGTGTAAAGCCATCGATTCCAATGACCAGAGCGCTGGCTGGCCGGCCGTTATGGTCGCTGCTGTCTGACAATAATAAAACAAGCTTCATGTTTTAAATGGAACGTAAACACACACATACGCCAGTATTTGGGTACACACACACTCGAAGAGGGACGTGTCTGTTCATTATTTGTTGCTCCTTTCTGTGTGTTTCTGGCCTGGCCGGAACGGGCCGGGCGGCCAAATCCCGCGGGTCAAGACAACGGCATGGAGAACATCATCATCAACTAGAACCTAGGCGAGCGCCCTGCGCCACCCACTTTATACAGTCCAACTAAACTAAATTGGACTTTTAATTATTTTCTATTTAATCGAAAAACCCTAACCACTCGGGCGTATACTTAATTTCATATTTCGTAGCATACTTTTTGGGGGAAATTAACCATGGAACATTTTTTGACATTTTTAACTTAAATTTTATTGGAGTTGGACTGTATTTGGCAAGTCAATGCCATTCAGAAGGTTTGGGTGCCCTGGATTATTGCTGCCTGGTTACCTACCTGGGAGCTACAGCCTCTCTCCGACTAAGTGTGTGTGTGTGTGGTGCGGCTTCAACCTCACAGCGAACTCTTCGGGACTAACGGCACTACGGAGGACCAAACTTTATCACCACTGTTCGCCTCCTGCCGTCCTCCTGCACTTGCCGTCCCTTTTGCTCGCACGCGCATATTATATGACAAGTACACGCTGCTGCACTGCGTCCGTTTACTGCTTCTGGTGCTTCTGGTACTGCTGCCATACTGGTGTTACTGGTACTTCTGGTGCTCTTGGAGCACAGCTCGTCCTGCGAGGCCCTCTAGTGGGTTGTATAATGTTCTAAGGGGAAATCGAGAGGCTGTGATAAGTTTGGGGATCCGAAAATTGTCTTTCTGCTCCGTGCCGTTGCTGCTTCCATAGATGTTTTTGTTGCTTTTGGTGCGACGCTGGCTGGCAGCGAGAAGCCCGGCGAGAATGAATTGGCCCTTTTGTGCGCATCACCAGCACCGCAGTGGCCCAACTTGAGGGCACTTGCAACAGTGGGCCAGGTTTGATGAGAATGTGGTTGAAAAATGTTAATTTTTTTTACTTACTCACTATCTCTTTCTTTTTAAAAATTTAATCATTTTAATTACCTGCAAAAGTAGTTAATCCCCTTTTAGCCAAAGTAGCTAAATAAGCATTCTAAGCCGCTTAATTAATCTCTCACCTACACCACAACTTTTCTGACAGCTTTTGACAGCCACAGTGCCCGCCAAAAAGTCACACGCACACCCTTCCACCCCCACCCAACTTTTACACACACACACACACACACTCCAGCTTGCTCCCTCACACAACATTTTTGCTCCCTGCAACATTTTTGTAAAAGTATTATTTCCACTTCACAGCATGGTTTTGTCAAGCATCGCTCTACCACAACTAACCTTCTTGAATTCACTTCGTTTATCCACAGAGGTTTTCTGAGCCGCATGCAAACTGATGTGGTGTACACTGACTTTAGTAAAGCGTTTGACTCTGTTAACCACCATCTCCTCCTTCATAAGCTGTGTCTTTTGGGGTTTTCTCCTCATATAGTACAGTGGTTGACCTCTTATCTATCGAACCGCACGCAGCGTGTTTTGTTTAAAAACAGTTCATCACAGATTATAAATGTTTCATCTGGTGTCCCACAAGGTAGTCACTTAGGACCTCTTCTGTTTGTTCTTTTTGTCAACGATTTACCTAGTGTTGTAAACTATGCTACTACATTTATGTATGCTGATGATGTCAAGTTATGTCTTTCTTTCTCAGACCATTTCCTTCATAGACACTTGCAACTAGACCTTAACGAAGTCTTCTTGTGGTGCTCAAACAATCTCCTTTTGCTTAACTGCTCTAAGTGTAAGGTTATGACGTTCAATCGCAGTGTGCCTCACATCGTTTCGTACTCTCTTGGGAATAACGTCTTAGATCGTGTTTTCCTAATTAACGATCTTGGAGTAATTTTTGACAATAAGTTGTCCTTCAACGACCACATATCACTAACAGTGAATAAAGCCAGAGGCGTGCTAGCTTTTATCAAACGTTGGTCTAAAGAATTTGATGATCCTTTCACAACTAAAACTCTATACGTATCGTTGGTTCGTCCTATCTTAGAATACTGTTCTAGCGTTTGGAGTCCGCAATACTTTGTTCACCAAAGGAGGATTGAATCAGTCCAAAAGCAGTTTCTGCTATTTGCGTTAAAAGGCTTAAACTGGGATACTGCCACTTCCCTCCCGTCGTATAATTGCCGGTTAAAATTACTAAACCTACCTCCTTTAAAAGAGCGCCGTACTTGTGCTGGGGTTATGCTGCTTCATGTGCTTATTCTTGGACAGGTTGACTCACAAGTACTTCTTGAAAAATTATTGTTTTCTGTGCCTAATAGAGTAACTAGATCATTCCGACCCCTTTGGTTACCAATTTATAGATCTAATTTTGCGGAACACGATCCATTCCGCGTTATTTGTAAAAATTATAACTCGTTATCCCATTTATTGTCCCCTGAACTATCCCTAGTTGTAATTAAATCCAAAATTATGGAATATCTTTTAACTTAATTTATCCTTACTCTTAGTTATAATAATATAGAAATAACAGTTCATTGTTAATAATAAATAATAATAACACCCACGATATTAATATGAGTTCTGCTGCTTATAGATTATATTTGTGTAAAGTTTTATGTTGCAATATTTTCGGAGGCGGTGGCAACTGCATGAGCGGATGGGAGCGTGGAGGAGCCTCGACGACGACGACGACGATGACATTTCCACGGGGAGCAACCTTGGTGCGAATAAAAATTATACATTGCCATATAAGCAGGCGAGACGGAGAACAGTAGACAACAAGGAGGGGGTCGCCTACCTCCCCAAGGAGCCTAGGTGTCTCCCTCCCACTTGCCACCCTCCCCATCCCGAGTCCCAACCAGCCATCTCGGTCGCACTCGGTCTTCGTGCGTGTGTGTGGTAACTTTTGCTAGCGTGTTTATTGGTATGTTCATTGGGGAGCATCTTGAGACCGAGTGGATAAAAGTGGGGGCTTCTTGTTGCATAGCGAAGTTGCTCATTTTGCCATTATTATTCCACTGTGTATTGAAAAATGAAACAAAAGTGAGTTATCGTCTTTGTCGCCTTGACTGCTCCCTCCCAGGATGTCTCACATGTGGGAAAGGTGGGCCAATATCAGGTGAGAAACGTTAGGATATTAGGTTCTAAATTATGATACTTTGTGGGTTAAATTTTTGCCAGTGCAGTCTCGTGGGAGAAGGAACAAAGCGGGAAAGGTTTATGACCAAGCCCCATTCAGTTACCCGCACTGTACTTACTGTACTTTTTTTATCGATTGCGGTGGACAGATCGATAAATTTACAAATTGCAGCCCCCCGACGATGGTCTTGATGACGATGACCATGACCAATTCGGGCCAATTCCCCTTGCATACATAATTCATTTATCACTTCATAATTGCATCAGAGACGTATCCGAGTCCCACTTTCCCGTAGGTACTACTCCGCACGGCGCCCCCCCCCCTCAGCGCCCCACTGCCCCCTGCCACTTCTGTTCGATTACATGCACGTCGACGACTGCCTTTATTATTTCGCCTTTTTTGCAATAATTTTCAAACAGAAACACACAAAAAGCATTTGCGCAACAATTCCCCAAGGACCTGCCGACGACGACGACTACAGCGCTGGCAACGCTGCCAAGGCAAAGGAGCGCTCCGGCTGGGTGAGGGGCTGGGGGTGGTCCTGGGAAAGGGACTCGTCGGCGTGGTGGGAGCAAACGAATCGAATTAAGAGCCACCACACGGTAGGTGGTCGCAGCGGATCAGAGCCAAGCGGAGCGCCCGCTTCAGACTTTTTCCCACGGGAGTGACGCAGTCCGAGTTGGACCTGCTCCTCTGCCTCCCTCACTGTCTCTCTCGCTCTCTCTCTCTATGGTTTTTTTCTGCCCACCCACTTACTCCTTTTCCCCTTTGTCCCATTCTTACCCCCACTGGGTGGTTATTGTTGTTTTTGTTGACAGAGAAGGCGAGTCAAGGGGGTTTGGAAGGGGGTTTGTAATCATGTAACAAAAGTAGATATTTGGGTCCTTTATGTGATTTATGATTATGTCTTACATTTCTTAATATTAGTATTATTTTTATTATTTTACCATAAAATAGTATCTAAAAATAAATTACCATCTACGCCTCTGTATTCAGTTAAATTCATATTGTTGTTGTAGGATAGACCTCTTCTGGACTTTGTCCGCTCATTTTGTTGCTGTTGTTGTTGTTGGTGGAGCCTTGTAGGCGGCATCGCTTTGGGAAATCTGAGCGAGTGCAGCATGCAGCAGCCTCCCATAGTGCATGTGTATGTGTGTATATGTGAGGGGGGCGTTGCAAAGTGGGTGGGCGTTGCCAAACAACTTCACAATAATCAGCAGCTGCACCACAAAGCCCCGAAAGTCGTAAAAATGGCCACAAGATGGCGCTAGTCGCATATGCAAATTTCGTTCGATTTATGGTCGCCACAAACACACACCATCTCACACATACTCACACAGATACACTCAAACACATCTCACGGATAGCAGCTTCATTAACATGATTCGCGAAAGATGCGAGAGAGTCATAAAATTAGCCAGTCGATGCCTGATGCCTGACGATGATGATGACGATGATGATGATGGTGACGATGATGAATGCATTGCAGACCTTCGGTCTGATCCCCTAGCTATCCCCAACTCCTCCCACACCCCCTGCCATACATGGGATAGTGTCGAAAAATTTGCAAAACTCAAAGCAACAATTCGACGAAAGCCAATTTTGCGTCATGCGAAGTCGAGATGCATGTGGCGGAGCGAAAGGCGGCGGCAGGATGGGGGCGTGGCATATGTCTCCCCATAGAGTGGATGTTGAATAATCATCAAGCATCATCAGAGAGACAGGGAGCTAAAAGGGAGACGGAGAAATGGGGGCAGGGAGATGGAGTAGTAAAGGGCAGGAGCAGGAGAGTCCTATCAAAGTCGCCGACATTTCTACCAAAGACACTTGGAGAAATACCTAATCCTCTCAAGAAAAGTTCTAAAAAAAAGTATATAAAATTTATTTAACAAAGGTTGCTTAGAACTTTTAAAAATAATTTCTAAAATAGGGTTTTTAATGTCCTTTTGAAAGAAACTCCTTTTTATTCCAAGTGCTGTCGGCAAAGGAGAAATCATCCAGGCGCGAGATGCGTTTTTGGCATGTTAAAACTTCGCTGGGTCCAGGGTCCGTCCACCAGATGGAGCCAGCAGTCGCCAGTCAGCAGTCATCAGTGAGCACGTGCTATCCAGACACAACCACTCGCAAAAAGAGAAATTCGTAAAATTTTGTTTCCGCTGATGAAGTATTCCCCAGCTGCAGGACAAGGATTATTGGACGTGTGGCGGTCCAGGATATAGCATCCTCTGCCACTGCCATTGCCACATTCCGAGTGCTTTATGTATCGGTGTGTGTGTGTGTGTGTTGGCATGCAAAGTGGCATAAAAGTAGATCCACAGCCACAGAACCACATCATCGAAACGTCGCCGACATGACGACCGACCCATCAAGGAAAATTCTCAAGCGCTTAGAATGTTGCAGGACAGGATGGCTGGAGCGCCCTATCCATCCTTCTTTTTTTTTTTTGGTTTTTGGCGCGCGAAATTTCATTTTGTCATTAGAAACTAGTAAAAGCCAAAAATCGCAAAAGTGGCAAGAGCAGTGAAAGCCAGTGATGGTCGATGGTTTGATGAGTTCATGTCGAGGGTTTTATGATGGCTGGAGAGATTGAAATGTTTCGAGGTGGAGTCTTGAAAGTTAGGTTCCTACAGTTGAGTAAAAGCCAGATACTGTAATTACAAAATAATAATTCAATTTCATTTTCCATTTAATTGCTGGACTTTCCTTCTACACTATCCTTTTCGAACGTAACGAATTCCCACTGTCCTACAGGTAACCCAACCCCATTAGCATATCCCTCAGGGCCAGCTTCTTGGCTTTCTTGCCAAAACTCAAGTCAGACATGCACTCACGTGAGACATTTGGCGCCCCACCAGCCACCCAGCTACCCAAACACCCAGCTACCCAAACACCCAGCCACCCAAACACCCAGAAGCCCAACCCCCCCTCAAGGCAACGTTGCGTATGAGTAACGACTGTAGACAAACTTTGGCGTCCCTGCCCCCCAATTAACCCCCCCAAACCCCAGAAAGGACCTCAGCACGTGCTGCCATCAGCTGTTTCCCCAAACTGAGAGACCAAAACAAGCCACTCTCTTAGTCGTGAGCGAGTCTCTCTTTTCTGCTCTTTGCCAGGACATGCGCAGTCCTGGGGAGCTCTCTTCCACGCTCTTAGCCCAGTGAGTTGCTAGAAGGGGAAGCCCTAGTTGCTAGGGTATGGAATTATGGCACCCTGGGGCTTAGCATAATCAAAATTCCTAGCCTTTGGGGATCCGGAAAGGGCATCCTGTTTGCCAAGAAGCAGTCGAGGTCAAGTCCCTGGCTGCATTTCCCTCTTGCAATCGGAACTAAAATAAGCTTTTCCACTTTCAGAGCCCGAAGATGGGGAGCCGGACGCGGAGGAGCTCGACCTGGACGAGGAGCTACTCAGTCTCAGCGGGGACGAGGACTACGATGATGAAGAGCTGCAGAGCCTGGACAGCTTCTACTCAGGTAAGTCTCGTCTGTCACACACGTTCTCCCTGCATTCCAATTCCACATTTCACAAAATAAATAGAACATACAGCATGCGTGCTGGAGCCATAACCATTGGAATTGGCGCTGGGGGTGTTATCCTGGCTGCCGGAGATGGCACTCCAGGGTGCTCTACACCTGTGCCGCGGGTGTCGTTTCCATATGCTGCGGTCCTGTGGCTGCCGGGCAGCCTAACTACGTTTTAAAAACCCCAAACAGCAATCAACACCAACCAGAAGTCGGGCAACAGCATTCGGAGTCAAGTTGGGACCTCGACCCGAGCATCGTCCTGCTCCTGCCACCTACCACTTCACACCCCCCTCCCCCATGCCATAGTCCTGCCGGTCCTGCCTCTCGCTTTCACACATCCTTCTTGCCATTTACGAGCTGTCGAAGAGTCTGAGGGACGGACGGGACAGCCAGAGATGCCAGTCAGATATCCTGCCAGCCAGTATCATGAGCTACGACCCCTCCCTCGCTCCCTCCCTGCCCCGACCTGGCCCTGCATCATCCAGCCACCTCCCTACGTGGCCACATTTCTCTCCAGTGCCATTTCGAATGCTTTTTCTGTGTTATTTGTTTCGCTTTGCGGCAAGGACTGCCTCCCACTTTCGGTGCTTCTATTTTTTCACAACTTCCTTGCTTGTGCTTTTTGTTTTTTCTGTACTCGAGCAACGTCCTTGCCGCCGGAAATATCCTGGACGGGCTGGCCATTTGCCCTCCCCCGACCCTTTCGTTCACTCATTCATTCATGCACACAACTCGGTCTTCACTTTTCCTCCAACTCTGGGCTTGACTTTGAAACAGACTTTTGTCTGTGCTTTCTTTCTTTGGGTACACTTGAAGAAAAAGTTTTAATAAAAAAATATAAAATATAGAGAAATCTAATAAAGCTTATAAATAAATCGAAGATTTTAAATATTTATAGAGGTCTTAAATAAACTTCCAAACATAAACCGTAATTTTCTTCTCTCAGTGCAGACAACATAGTTAGCACTCAACACTTGCCCGGCACATCCTTCCTGCTATTCATGGCATCCTTTCTTAGCCCCTTCCCCCACTCCCTTCCTTGGGGTTGAGCAATGGACCAAGAAACCCCATTTGGTTACTCCAAGGAAATCTCTCTGGCTATTTGAGCACAATTTTGAAACGTTTTACGTTGTGTGTGCGATGTGATTGCGGGCTGCAGTCTGCAGAAGGACTTCTTCAGGACGACGCCTAAATGTATGCAATGAAATGCAATTAGTTGCAATGCAACACACACCCCCACTATACAATGCATTACAAAAAAAGTAGATCTCAAGTTTAAGGGAAACTTTTTAGGGCTTTGCCAGTCACTTCATTTGTTTGTCTTGGCTTCGGCCTGAGACTTCCGCCACGCGGAAGGACTCTCTCGGACGGGCTTAGCCTGTCCCTTTTGATTTATTAATTGCACGTGTAGTTCAAGAAGTGACAACGAAGACAATTTACCATGCTCGTATGCAAATAGTTTTAGAGCTTCCTTTTGATGCGACGCAATTAATTACACATTTGTCTTACAAGACAAACACAGACTCCATCCCTCTCGCGTCTCGAGACCATAAATAATTGCCACGGTCAAAGGTTTTGTGGAGCTTGGGTTTTTGGGGTCGGGTTCTGGTTCTGATTCTGGTTTCGGATCTGGGGGGTATTGCTTAAAGTGGCGAATTCTCACAGCACTTACCGTCTTGGAACCGTTGCTTTCCCAAGAAGTCGTCTTCACATCATCAGCGCAAATTGCTTTACGCACCGCACACGGCGATAGAAATCTGTGTACATTTTTTGGGGAAAACTGGTTACGCCGCCGAGATGACATCGGTTAATGAACCAACCGCCTTTAGAAGAGCCACTGCCATGTGTGTGGTTTGGTCTGGTGTGGTGGACAGTGTGGATCACTTCCACGGATGGTTCTTCAGCACGTAGAGAATTCTCCGGCTCTTAAAGATACTACAGCCACCGCCGTGTAACTGGGTCAGCGGGCTATCCTAACCACGAATCTAATGCGTTTTAATTACAGTCATACCTGCGAAATGTCCCCAACTAAGAGTTCCTTACTTGTACTCCAAAACCGTCATTAGAAAGTTTCCACTATTCTCTGGGGGTGGAGCTATTTGTTGGTCATAAAAAGGGGGCGGTCACTTTGCTAAACTCTTCGATGGGTAAAGAGATTTCACGGTTTCCAAACTTTCTTTGAAAGCATGGTTTTAAAGCCAAACTTTTACTATTTTGGCATCATATAACCTTGTACTTGAAATAATTATATGCATTACTTGAGATAATTATATAAATTAACTTAAAAATTATAAGATTTGCTAAGACAATTTTTTAATTATTTTCAATGATTTCGTTGAAGGTCCTCAAACAGCAACTAAATAGTAATTATTTTAGGAAACCCCTTGCATTATCTTTCCTAATGAAGTAGTTATCCTTATTTCCCTTACCATCCTTTGTCTTATCCTTACTTTTCTAGCTGCTGAGACCTCCCCAAAAAGAGTTCTCAAAATTTCAAAAAAACTTTAACCCAACTTAGCCCGGCCAAGTCTGGACAAAGTAATCGCAATCTCAGGTGTAAAGCCACACCGCTGACACCGCGTCTAAGCAAGCGGAAACAAGGCGAAAAAACTTGGTCCTTCGTCCTGCACTCGGACTGCTGCCTGCAGTGTCAGTTGCAGGCAGGACACTCCCGCCGGTGTTTCCATCCCACCGTAGGCGCATTGGCCGAGACTCTTGGCAATTTTTTCGCCAACTTTTTGCGCCGGCACTGGCATCCTCTCATTGTTTTCGATCTCGTGGGACTTTTGGGCCAACTGGGCTCTGGCCCAGAGAAGTTATGACACGCCCAAGTTGCTGCCGTTGCCACCTTTCCTGGCCAGATGATTTATGCGCCTTTGGTGGCTCGCCGGCTTGCCAACCCAAGTTTTTCGGACCCATCCCGCCGGGGTGTCGAGAGTGGAAACTTTCCGCGAAAGACGTTTTCATTTCATTTTACGATGCAAAAATAAAAAGCAACGGAATGCTGGTGTAACGCATTTTTATCCAACCGCCCAACCACCCACGCACATACACTTACAGAGTCTGGTTCCCATTTTTTTTTTTTGGTGGCTCCCATGTGCATAGTTCTGCGTTGCTCCTCGTCCTTATGCGACTCCAAGGCGCAATTGCGCGTGCCAAACTCCCGGGGGAACCCTTTCAGCTCTGACTTCCTTGCCTCAGTTTACGCTTTTCGCCCCTTTTTCCATCCCACAAGGACACACACACTCGCCAACAGCTCAAACATACACATTTTTTGGGGTAATTTAAATGAAATACGCGTTGAAATGTTCACTCACATGGGGAGATGGTGTTTGTTTCGGTTATTTGATCTTAAAGGATTTAATTTAGACATATTGTTATGGCTTTTCCAAACAAAACAGGTATCTGGCTTATAAATCTTTTAGTTTAAGGTGGATAATGTCCTTTGACAAAATGTATACTTAGAGAGAGGTATCCTCTAACTTATTACCCTGCTTGAATATTAACCCTGACTCCTTGGGATACCCTCGATTCATAATTCATTGCTGGCGACCTCCAGCTGTCCTCACCCTCAGCTGCAGCTTCCTCCCCCATCATTCTTATTAGTTAAATGCCAAAAATAACGCAGAAACTACCTGGGCAATAAAATTATTTTATGATTATTATCGCCATCAGTGGGCCAAACAAAAACCGGTGGCAGCCAGAGTGGTAAATGGTTGATGTTGCTTGGAGAAAAAAAAAGTGTCATAAACCCAATTCCGAGCGAACCCCTTCCTTTTCGTACCGTTATCGTGGCTCTTGAATCGCCATGAAGTTCTAGTTTCCGTCTTCCGAGTGAAGTTCGAGATATCGGCTACCGGAATCGGGCCGAAGCACAAAAGACCTCGGATGTGGCAATCGGACATGTTAATCTGGTTTCTGGACTTTACTTCACTTCCACATCCACTCGGGCCTTATGCATTTCAATTTTCTGGACTCTGACTCCACTAACCCTCCAAGTTTATGGCGGCACGCGTTCACTGGATGGTCAAAAGACCGTTTAGCGGCAGCTGTGGGGCATTGTTCTGGCTCCCAGTCCCTCTAAGCCACAAGACTGGAGGCACGTGCCACCGCACTCTAGCCCCAGCTCCACTCTATCCCCCCGCAAACAAAGTTTCTGCGGTTAAGTGGGCCTGCCAGCCTCAAAAAAAACAGGTGCGAACCTCAATTACGGTCGATTGGGTCGAAAGTCACAGAAATCGATTTGGAAACCCTTTTCTAAAACCCACAAAAAAGGGGGCGAGGTGAAGGGATTTAGCCACTGCACCGCAGGACGCCCTCGACACGTCGCCAGACCCATCATTACCCTTGACAGGCGATCAAGATCCCCTGCTCCAGACACCAGACAGATCCCTCACTTCCTACCTGCTAACCTGTCTGATTGATTTGTGTCAGCGCCTCGATCGGAATTGAGACAAATCCCATATCCCTCCCCTCCTCCTTTCCATTCAGAGACTTCATTTTTCATTCATGCCTTATAGCCTGTAGCCTTATAGATCGTGATCTGTCTGTGATGCAATTCAAAAAGGATCATCATTATGGTCCATTGAGCGAGAATGACTTGACAGTCTTTGAGAGAAAGAGGGGTCAGCATCGAAATCAGATTACGAGGATAATTATTTGTTTGGTAAATATGTCTAAAAGTTGTCCCTAATGCGCGGAGGGGTTCCTAAAAACCCTAACCCTATAATTACCCCCCAAAAAAGGACCTCCACTCATGGTCCGATTGCTTAAAATTTTAAATAAATAATGTAACTTACATTATGTAAGTAAACTTTCACATTTCAGTTAAAATATCAATCAACTTCATATGTAATGCTTTTTGTCCTAAAAAAAAATGTCAACATTCATTAAAAAGGATTATCCTTTCACAGGAGTAAACCTTTTTTTTTTGGGCCTGGTCTTGACCACCAAATGATTGCGGCTCTAATTAAATGTGTCCTCTAGCGTCTGATTAATTGTGCCGTTAGCGCCGAAATGAGATCATGGCCAGAACGAGAAGATGGTAGATGGTAGTCTGTGGAGACACAATGTCCTTTGGCCAAGGACCAGGCACTTTTTTCCTCCGAGCAAATGTGAGTTAGGGCTTTGGACCTCAACTGTCACAACATCAAAGTGACAATTTGAGTGACTTTTTCCGGGAATGGCTAATTTAAAATGCGCTAAAACAAAAGGACACTTAGGCTGCTGCTGGCAGGACAATGGACAGGACATGCTGACAGGTCGCTCCTCTCCGAAACCTTTCCGAAACTCCCCATGCAGGGCATACATAACATATATTTTTATAATTTATCTATTATGCATAAGGGCGCTGGGCAAAGCCAAAGGGTTTTGGCTGTCACCATACTCCAGCCCATCAAGGACGAAGAGTGACACATGAGCCAAGGTCCTTTTGGTCCTTTCACCACGCTGAGCTGACCAACAGCTCGGTGAAATCTCGGTGAAAAGTTTCTGGCCTGACTTTTGCATTAGCCGCGAATTAAAAATGCACAGGCAAAGGATCAAGGAGCAGGGCTGGGCGAAACGATTTACCTGCACGGGCGGACACCCTTTCACCCACCGTCCAACCACCCCCTGGTCCAACCACTCCCTCCTCCCCCGTATTTCGTCCGGCACTTGTCGTGGCCTGTCACAAAAGTGTCACTCAAATGTAATTAACACCGGAGACGGAGGACTAAAGTGGCTCAATGTCAGTGGGGATGAGAACTTTTACCATTTTTCAGCCGAAAGTTTGCTTTTCAGAGGAAAACCTGCCTACCTGAAAATGCCTAACAACAAAAAAGAACATCTAAGGGCAATTAGAATAGCAAATTGAAAATTCCGATTCCTTGTTACAATTACGAAAATTGTTATCCTTCCAGGGAAAAAACTTTCTCCGTGTAATCTCATTAAAAATGTAAGAAGCAAAAATTAACTTTAATTGCAATTAGATCGGGGAATCAAGATAAATAGACTTTGTGGTGGAAAAAAGCGTCTTCTGTGGAAAAGTTTCCACTGACAGAGGTCAAAGGTTAAAACGGTTTTGGTTTCTCTGGGTTAATTGGTTATATTTGTAATTGATTTTATAAATAAAATATGTTAAAAGGGCTAAAATCAAGAAGGAGAAGGGAAAAAAATGTTTCTGTTCAGATTATTGTGGTAAAAAATCTTTTATTTTTAAGAAGAGACTTAATGTTTTTATAAGTTCCATAAATTAATTTCTCCTTAAATAAATTAGTTTTTAACAAAAAATCTCACCAAAATTCCTCAGTCCCCTGCACAAATCACGAACTCTTGCCCAACCTCAAACCAAAGACTCAAACAACAAACTTGGCCAACAACAAAACGTGTCAATTAGCAAATCGAGAGCTAACGGTTAAGCCCGAATCGACAGACCCGTCAATACCCATCTCTCTCTCTCTCTGTTTGCATATGTATGTGTGTCCATTTACTGGAGCAGCGACGCATGCTCAGAAAGAAAGGCTCTCCTATTGGTCGACAAATTCCTCAGCCAATGGAAGAGCAGCAAATACGAAACTAAGAATAATAGAAAAACTTGAATAAAAATACAAAAGTGGCTGACAGAAAAAGGTAAGAAAAGGCAGCTGCTGTAATGGCTAAAATAGTGAAAAGTGATTTTTTAATTGCTTTAATAGTTTTTTGGCAGGGGAGTTCATGATTTTACTGTACAAAGACACTTCATAGACAGTTTCTAACTTAAAAGTAATACATTTTGTTAGAAATATCCGAATATTTATTTATTTTTTTTAAGTGTATGGTAGCCGTTGACAGGCTCTTACAAAAAGCGAGCTTTTATTTGCTGCACTTTGCAACTCTGCCACCGATGTCACTGCTGCCACTGTATGCATAATTAATTTGGCTTTTAGTGACGAGCCTGCAGCAGAATCTGCATCCTACATCCTGTCCAACTTGTGTCCTTTGATATCCTCTGCCTGACTGCAGAGTCAGTTGTATATTTTTCGCAACAATTTGTTAGCCACATTGACGCCACTCCGCTAATGGCTTAAACGTGTTTTTCCCTCGCTGCCTTTCTTTTTTCACTCACTTTGCCATTTTTGCGTCAATTTCAATTTTTATTTTGGGGCTTTATTCATTCGTGTGTATGTTTGCGGTCATGTTCCCAGGAGTGGCAGAAAAACAATTGACATTTACATGGAATGAGGTCTAATATGTGATTCTAAAACATGTGCTATTATTGTTAGCATTTGGGTTGTTGAGGAAAATGTGTCATCTTTTACAGAAGTCATTTTTTAGAGCTTTATAATATAGATTAATAAATACAGATCTTGTGTAAAGAAAATATATTATAAAGCTTACTCCTTCACGAATTTTTTAAACTGAAAAATAACTAAAATCTTAAAAAAAGGGAATCGAAATAAATCATCACCTGACTTTTTAACTAAATTAAATTTTTAAACGCACATAAATAAAATATAAAGCCCATCAACGCTTCACCCCCCCTTCCAGCTGCCCCACCTGCCCTCTGCCCAGTTAACCCATTAGGGGCCTCTGCTCTTTGTTAACCCATTTGGCTCCCATGCTCCGCCTTTTGCCTGCCCTCGTGTATACGTGTGTTTCTGTTCGCTTATGTGGGGAGCCCAGCCACCAACACCAACGCACAGCACATCGTTTCATGCTCTCTCCCTCACTGGCTCGCTCCCATTCGAACTGGGGTTGCGTCTCGCTCACACCTCAGCTTCGGGAGCCTCGCAGTGAGTGTGTGGTGCTTATATACAATGAGCTTTCTCACTCACTCTAACTCCCACCATCGTTGTGCGTTGTGTGCATGTATTAGTGGGGGTGGGGTGGGGGCGCCATTTAAATTGCTGCTTGCTGTTGGCTCTCATTTGTCGTCGCCGTTGCGATGAGAATCCCAAAAGGCACTTACACACACACACACACAGACACAGCACACACTGATGCAGGAAAACCAGTTCGCCTAGTTGTCGTTTCCATAGGCGTTCTGTCGACGTCGCCTTTGGCTCTTTGGCTCTCGGCCTTTGGCTCTGATTTTAGTCACATTTTGGTGACCGCGGCAATTGGACGTCCTTCGTCTCGCGCCTCTCGCGGTTAAAACTGAAGAAAAAAAAAACAAGAAAAAACATTAAACCCACCACAATAAAACAATGATCCTTTGGTGCCACAAGGGACATTATTAATCCACCTATTAGTGTTTCCAAAGTGTAGTAAAAGTGCCTCATAAACAGGAATTAGTGAAATTTAATTCAATTTAAATGAATTATTAGTTAATAAATACAGAAACACTGACTAGGCCATGCTATGATGGCCCTAAAGATGTTATATCGCGGTCCCAGTTCGCGTTTGGAGAATTTAATTGAAAAGATCCAGGCCACCAAGGAGATAACCAATAACGGTAAATAATAAGGAGCTTGGAAGATTTATTAAGAGGAGATAGTGAAGGTCTAAGGTCCTTAGTTATAAGGATTTCAATTAAAATCCAATGATCCTTTGGGTATATCAGTTTAGTTTTTGGTTAAAAAAAAATCAACTGCCGACGGGTTTTTATTGAAAAAGTATTGAAAATAACAAAGATTCTTTTAAATCTAAGCAAAATACGATTAAGGGCTTAATTTACTAAAATATTAAGAGTTTAAGCAAAGTCTAAGCCTTAAAAGAAAGGATTCTAAAGGTCCTTATATTTTAAAAAGAATGTTTAGTAGAGACCATCTAATCTGAAAGAAAAATATCCTATAACTTCTCTGCTCCTATCTATCTTATATCATTTCCCAGACCCCTACCATCAAAACCACCAACATTTCAATCAAATCTGAATCTAAAATCTGAACGAGTTCAAATTTCTTACAACTTTCTTTAACCCCAAAGATCAAGACGGATGAGAGTGTGTGATTCAAGCTGATGTATCAGTTTGATGTTTCCCCAATTAGAGTCCGGATCAGAACATAGACCAGATCAGAGTTCAAGCAATAAAGGGGGAAAACAAGCCATGACAGATCCAAGAGCCAAGATCCCAGACCCCCAACCCTGGAAGATCAGTGGCAATTGGACTCAATTAAAAGTTGTCGAAAACCGGGAAAGTGAACATCGGCACTTGGCGCGTGGTGATAAATAGATCGTCTGGGGGGAGGGGATCATGATAATCGTGACCCTCATGGATAGTGGGGATACTACTGGGATGATGATGCTGTAATTAAAACGGCAGCAAGAACAAAGCGCAATTAGTTTGCATGAGACTCGACTTACAAGTGTCTGGCCCAGTGGGTTGGCTCCAGATGGGGTGTCTGAGGCAACACCAAATGTTGTACTGCTAATTGAATTAATTCCGACGTTGATTTCCTGTCTCGGTGCCCCGGTCCCATTCCCATTCCAATTCCCATTCCAAAAAGCGCCGCTAATCAGGATGCAACCGCCCACTCGATCAAACTGAAATTATACACTCGAGAAGCGAAATTAAAAGTTGTTTACACTGAAAATCTTAGAAGAGGGACTTAGAAGACTTAGCATTACTCAAGACCTCTACGCTTTATCCATTTCAGATATGTATAGTACTCACACATCCTCCAGCTACTCACCCAGCATTTCGGACGGCACCATGACTCCCAACTCACATCACTTGCCCGGTGCTCCTGCCAATCTCCCCGGCCAGGATCAGGATCACCCGAGAGAGGGAAACACCAACGGAGGACTGGATGGCGAGGACTTGGTCAAGCCGAAGCGTCTGCCCCATTTCCATCATCATCACCACCACCACTACCATCACCAGCAGGCGCTGAAAATCGCCAACAAGCTGCGAAAAATCAATAAGGAATCCAAGCTGGGAGCCCTGGGAGGAGCGGGAGCCGGAGGAGTTGGCTCCAAGTTTGATAAGTTGACGGGCGAGGGGATTAAAAGTCGCGGCGACGGCTCCTATCAGTGTCAGTTCTGCGAGAAGTCATTTCCGCGACTCGGTTACTTGAAGCATCACGTGCAGGTGAGTCCCCGGAACTCCTTTTCCCAAACGAAAGGGTGGCACTTAACCGACCGGAGAGGGTGGCTTTTGTTTTTAATTACCGCATCCTGACATTCTTGTAAGGCGCTTAGGTTGTTATCCTTCACCCTGATTGACAGACTGGGTGTTGGGTTGGCGCTTTGATTGACAATTTGTGGTACCATCATTGATTTTCTGGGCCACAGCTAGAATTTGTGTGTTTCATTTGCTAATTGAAATTGAAAGTGGTTGAGGGAAAGGATTGATTTTAGATGGAGGCTTTAAGTTAGAAGTCCTATCTCTGGAGATCTTAAACCAAGCCGCCTTAAACCCTCAATCCTTCTTCTCATAACTCTAAGACACCGCCCATGACATCAGCAACTTGTTAACCCAATTGCAACTGCTGTTTAGAACCGAGAGATCCCTATCGCCGGCCTGGGTCTCTCTAACATGAAAGCAGTCCCCGGCTTTGATCCTAGCGCCTGGCCGAGAGCTTGTACGATTCGGAATTCGGTCTCCGAGCCGGGGATATGGGATGTGTTGATGGCGATGGTGATTGGAGTCGGACAGTTTAAAAAGCCATAACCAACACGAGAAGTTTGTCCGCTCTCTGGATGCGACTAACCCGGGCTAACTCATCATACCAGTGTATATGTATGATATTGTGCAATTTTAAGGCAATCCAAATCGGGGGACTGCATACAAATGGGCTAATTTTTTTTTGCGCCGCTCTCAAAGTTCAAAGCCGGCTACCGCCAAAAGAACCCAAAAAGCAAACCGGTTGCGGGTGTAGCTTTCTGCTCTCGACTGTAGCTCCCGAGCTACTGAGCTCCCGAGACCCCCAAAAGCCCCCCAATGCCCCCCCAAAAGGCGGGTTTAAGCCAAACGGCGTTGCGCATTTAGATGAATTTTGTCCACAAGCCACGAGTCGCAAGCGAAACACCTACTCGTCGTCAGTCGTCAGTCGGTATGCAGATTCGGATTCAGATTGACGCATCTATAAATTCAAGCCGGGCCTGGCCAGGAGTAGTAGTCATCATCGTTTCTTTTTTTTTTTTGCTCAACTGGGGTAGACAGTTGACGCTGCCTTGTCTGGGGCACTTCTAAGAATTTCAAATAGCCTCTCCGGTCTCTCAAGCCCCACTCTGGCCTGACTCTGGCCTGACTAATTGCTGAGATTATCTTTATGCTAATGGCATTTTCCGAATCTGTGCTTTTCCCAACTCTTTGCAGAGCCACGCCGAACACCTGCCCTTCAAGTGCGAGTACTGCTCCAAGCTCTTCAAGCACAAGCGCTCCCGGGATCGCCATAAGAAGCTTCACACCAACGAGAGGAACTACAAGTGTCCTCATTGCGAGGCTGCCTTTTCCAGGAGGTGAGTTTCAAACGACTCTTAAAATAATTTAAACAAAAAACTAAAAAAAAACTTTCATTTTTACTTCATTTCTTCTTCTTTAGTGACCATCTTAAGATCCACATGAAAACCCATGACATCCAGAAGCCCTTCCAGTGCAGCATGTGCAACAGGGGCTACAACACGGCAGCTGCCCTGACCTCCCACATGCAGAAGCACAAGAAGAACGCCGCCATCCTGGCAGCTGGAGGCAATCCCAATGCCCTCAACTACAGTCCACGCTCTACGGGATCTGCCTCGGCCTCGGTCTCCAGCAACGGGAGCCTGCACAAGAGGCGATATGCCCTGACCCTGGCCACGGACAGCAGTCCCAGCCGCCTGGACTACCCCCAGAAGAGGTCGAGAAGTGGCACCACCTCCACTGCCGCCGCCACAGCTAATGCAGCACCCACGCCACTGCTGAGGTGCAGCTACTGCCCCAAGGTGACGGAGTTCAGCAGCCTGGAGCAGTTGAATGCCCATCTGCAGAGTGTCCACGAGCAGCCCCAGCAGCCGCCGGTAAAGACACCCAACCAGGAGGCGGAGGGCTTCCAGCTGAGCTGTGAATACTGCACCATGAAGTTCGGCAACATAGCCGGTCTCTTCCAGCACATGCGGAGCACTCACCTGGACAGGCTGAGCAGCCCCAACTCCTACTACGAGCACTTCAACCGCCTGGCCACCGCCGGCACCTTCAGTCCGCGCCTGGCTCTGGATCTGCCCAAGATCAAGCCGGACCTGGGAAGCCCCGATCAGCGCGAGCTGCGGCCGGCGGAGGAGGACCTACCCACGGACTTGAGCAGCAACAAGCGGCGACCCCTGACCCCTAACCCGCAGCCCCCACCCGCTCCTCCGGGCGTCTTCTTCTGCAATCAGTGCAACGCCGGCTTGCCCGACTTCGAGAGCTTCAGGAATCACCTGAAGAGCCACATCGCCGAGGGCATGCAGCAGGTCTGCCCGCACTGTGGACTGAGCCTGCCGGAGCAGTCGGAGTTCGAGCGCCATGTGGTGGGCCACTTCCTGATCACCGGATCGGAGTTCAACTGCAGCTCCAGCTGCGGCAAGAGCTTCGCCAAGTCGGAGGACCTCCAGCAGCACCTCATCACTGAGCACGTCCTCACTCTCCTGAAGTGTTCCCTATGCTCGGAGCTCTGCGAGAGCCGGATGGCCATGCAGCTCCACCTAGCCTGTGCCCACAGCCAGGAGACCAAGCTGCTTCGCTGCAGCGCCTGCCTGGAGCTGTTCCGCTCGGACGCCGAGTTCCACGTCCACGTCAAGACGCGCCACCAGCTGGGCGGACACCCCGCCCTGGGCAGTGCCACTGCGAATGCCCCCTCCAATCCTCTCCAGTGCATGTTCTGCCGAGTGGTCTGCTCCTCGGAGCTGGAAATGCATTTCCATTTGGCGGCCCATGCCAGGCAGTTCCGGTGCCCCTCGTGCCCCGAGACCTTCCACGTTGAGTTCCTGCTGGATCGCCACATGCAGAGCCAGCACGGTGGTGTCGGAGGAGGAGCAGGCGTCAAGGACAAGGAGGCCAGTTCGCCCAACATGAACAGCCTGTACGTGAACGCCCTGCTGCCACCACTTGCGGCAGCAGCAGCGGCTGCCGCAGCCACCAACAACAACAGCAGCATCATCGACTACAACGTGGCCTTCAAGGGCTTGTTTGGCGGAGCAGCCGGAGGAGGAGGAGGAGGGTCTGGAGCACCCACTGCCCCCTCGTCCAAGTTCTACAGCCCGCTGCAAGTGGACACCAACGCCCTGAAGGCACAGACCTCGCCCCACCCGGCCCTGATGTACGGACTCAGCCAGAGGTACTTGATGGAAATGTACGCCGCCAAGTCGGCCTCTCCTCCGGGAAGTGAGGGTGGAGCCAGTGGGCAGGCAGCCGGATCCCAGGCATCTGCACCAGTACCGCCACCCGCTCCTCCTGCACCACCGCAGGCACCACCCACCACCTTCAGCTGCGGAATGTGCGAGCGACAGGATCTGAGGAGCGAGGCGGAACTCCACTCGCACCGCAAACTGGCCCACAACCTGAAGACCGGAGTGAGCCTGAGGTGCGCCTACTGCGCCGGGAACTTCAAGTCCCGGGCGGAGCTGGAGCAGCACATGAAGAGCTGTCACAATTCCACGGGCAAGCACAAGTGCTTGATCTGCGACGAGGTCTTCCCCTCGCCAGCCATCCTGGCCGAGCACAAGCTACAGCACTCCAAGGTGGGGCAGTCGGGCAAGTGCTCGCACTGCGGCCAGCCCCTGGAGGACGTGGCCGCCTTTCGGGCCCACCTCTCCGAGCATGGAAGCGACGGGGCGTCCCTGCCCCTGGCCTGCATCTGCTGCCGCCAGACCCTGCACTCGGAGTTCGAACTGAGTCTGCACGCCAAGTTCCACACCAAGTCCGCGTCCAGTGGCGGCAGCCTCCAGGAGCCAGTGTGTGCCCTGTGCCTGGAGCCCCTGCCGGACGCCACCGAGGGTCCTGCCAAGCTGTGCGAGAAGTGCTGCCGCAAGCACAACCTCAATGGAAAGAGGAGCAAGCCTCCGAGTGAGCCGCCAGTCCAGAGTCTGCCGCCCATCCAGCCGCCATCCGGGGCAGCCTTTGTGGAGAACCGTTGCAACCTGTGCAAGATGATCCTGCCGCACGCCCAGAAGCTGCAGGAGCACCTGGTGGAGCACACCTTTGCCGGCACCGAGCAGCGCGGCTACAATTGCTACATCTGCTCCGCGGTCTTCACAGCACCTGGAGGTCTCCTCAACCACATGGCGGAACATGGCGCCCACACGCGTCCCTACGACTGCAACCTCTGCCCGGAGAAGTTCTACTTCCGGGCGGAGCTGGAGCACCATCAGCGGGGCCACGAGCTGCGACCCCAGGCACGTCCCAAGATGGAAGTGCCCTCCAACAGGACAAGTTCCTCGCCCATCGACAGCCCCGTGAGGAGTCCCACGATCGTCAAGCAGGAGCTGTACGAGACGGATACGGCTCAGTCGGCAGGAGGGGATGAGGAGGAGCCGGAAAACGCCCACGACGACGAGGAATACATCGAGGTGGAGCAAATGCCGCACGAGGGGCGTCCCAGCGAGTTGGAAAGGGCCACCAGTAGCGCCTAAACCATAATCTCTTCAAGGTTCTGAGATGAAAAGTATAGTATTTAAAAGACTGTTTCCGAAATGCTTTTATAAACTTTCTAATTTTTATAAAAATTGTATTATTTCTTGCCACTCTTGTAAACCGATAAAGCAAATGGAACAGTTTAGTATTAACCGCATAATATTATTATTAAATATATATTATAATCGATATTACACATACGCCTAGTGTACTCGTAGAAATTCTTGACAACAAAAAAAATATATAAGAGATTTGTGTGTGATAGTTTTTCAAAGATTTCACTCCACTATTTATCCTCAATTATGGTATGTTATAGGGCCTTGCCTTTGATCCAGTATTTATGAATGGTATAGTCTATATGATCCAACGATAAGATACATAATCAACCATGTAACTATTACACAATTATGCATATGGATGTACGTCTTATATAAGCACCAAAAACATTTTTAATGTGTAGCATAAAAACTAAAAAAAAAAAAAGAATGAACAAATATTTAGTAAATAAAACGAAGAAGTTGAAACCAAAATGCGAGATATTTTATGACTTTACTTAGAAGCTCCGAGGGGACTGGCCCGACTGAGGGGACTGGGGACCTGGGCTCTAAGGAAAATCTGGAATCTGATAAGTACGACTTTTATTTTGTTTGTTTTTATGGAAGCTGACTGAGCACAACATGCGCCGGGCCGGCGAGGTCTCCTCCTCGACGGAGTCCAAATTTTATGGCGAATATTTCGTTTCTGGTTTATTTCGGCAAGCGCGACACGTTCGGGCCATAAAAAAGGTGCGCTCTCAGGTGGTAAGAGGTGGAAGCGGTAACCCTGCGGCATTCGGCATTTGTGCCCCTGGAGCTTGAAAAGCGGCAACAAATTGGCATCTCAGTTGGGTGATCCCTATCTCCAAGACCGGTGGCAATTACACATCCAACCATCATCAGCCATCTCGGACCATCAAGTCACAAGATATGACGCTTCTGTTTCCCGGAATGCCTGCCTCCTCCTCTAATCTCTGACAGCAGCAGAAGGAGCAGCACCTCCGGCTTCTGGGAAGCAATTGCAAATAAATCGCATTTAATAAATTGCATCGAGAGAAAAAGGCACCGACCGACCGATCCCCGGATCTGCACCTGTCGGCAATCATCACAAATCAATAAAAATGTTTACCATCACAAGTTGCAAGCTCTACTAGTTGCAAGTAGTCAGTTGCCAGTGGCTGGTAGCACCGGCAGTTGTTAATTAGCGCCATGCCACAAATGCCAAAACGTTCGAAGGAAAACAGCAACTACTACTACCGAGGCACAACAAAAATTGTCATGCCACAATCGAAAGCCACTGGAGGAGACTTCATTGATCGTTTTGGCCGCACTCCGATTTGGAGCACTCCAGACCGCCAGGCGCGTCATCCGCTGGGGTTGCTCCTCCATGCCTTTGAGATCTTTCTGCGAAAATATATATAGTTTTTGCTTTGCTTTATAATGCCGCTTATAAAGCGTCACCAATATGTCCCGCGATGACAATGCCACGGCTCTGTAAATCAAAACCTCCAACGTATCGACGGCAATCGCATCGATTCGCATCGCTTTATTTTTGGTATTTCAGGCATTTGACGGGTTTTTACACGCTGCCTTCCACAAGGGAGTTTAAACCTACATAGTAGTGGCTTAAAGAGTGGTAAGAGCAACTGACAAACTGGCCAACTGAGTGACTGACTGACTGGCAACCTCAAGTGTCGGCCAACAACTCTGACTTGTCTGGCTGGCATTTCAGAGTCCGCAACGGCGTAACATTGACAAATGAAGCAGCTCCCATCAGTCAGGGGCTCCGTCCTGGCTCTGATGAAGATACCGCCCGCTCCAGTCCGAACTGAAACACCCAAAAAGCCAAATGGAGACAAATGATGATCAGAAGACACCAGAGCAACACCAGAAGGAGAAAGGAGCAGTCGTGATGGGGTAGAGTGAAATATTTTCGCATGCCCTATTAAACAAAAACAAAAGTGAAAAATTGTTGGGTTGTTTGGTTGTTGTTTCTGCAACAACCCCTCCGGCAAATGCTTCCTCTTCCGGGGCAGAAGGAAGGATATTTTTGCGGAACTCGAAGGACACGAAATGTGTGCCAAACATGCAAGAGGGCTACACTTACATTATATTCATTACCGGCTTATTAGCGTGATTTACCGAGCTGATGGGGGAGTGATGATGTATCCTGGGGAAGACATAAGGATAACCATAAGGATGTGCTTGATGATGGTCTGTATGGTCGTGGGAGTTGCTTAATGTCTGGGAAAATGACTTTGAAAGCGCCATATCCCATATCCCATATCCGTTTGCCAATAATACCGTGCGAATTTCCTGATGGATGTGCCCACAGGATGTACTCCTGTCTCCTGCCATCCACCCTACTCTAATATAACAACTTGTCATATGCAAATTATGAAAATTGATTCAGGCCTCAGCCAAACCATAAAGCTAATCTAATGGATCTAATGGAGGAGGAGGATGGGTTCCTTAACTTGTCAATTAGCTGTCAACTTCCTGTCTCTGGAATTGGAAGAGGGGACTGCTAATTAGCTGACCAGATCGCAGAGATACTGATCACGGAGAGTGTCCTCTTCGGGGAGGCGCTAATTCAATTAATAATCCCTCGTATCAGACCGACAATTACACAAATTAAAACTAAGCATCTTCACCCCCCATTTCCTCCCATTTCCCCCCCATTTAATTATGCAATTACTAGATAATTTTTTCTGCTTCTTGTTTCTGTTTTTTCTGGTTTTTATTTAATATTTGTTCTCCTTGATGGCACGAGTCTGGGGCACAGACCCCGACACTGATACCGATACCGACACTGAAACCGAAACCGAAACAGTTGCAGATACAGTTACAGATACAGATACATAACCTTTCGGATACACATATGCGAGCTTCTCCCATTGGCCGAATCGAAATGAAACGGTAAATGTTCTCTCTGTCTGTGTGTGGGCCTGTAGGTGTTTATGTACAAGACTCCAGCCAGCCGGATACACATGAGTAGGGCGTCGTTTTTGGGGCGTGGTGAGGGATACAGGCGATGTATCCAAGAGATACTTTTCTAAGGACTTTCAAGGCTTGTGTGGAATGATTAAGACTATTTAGTATTATAATAATTTGAAAATAGGGATCTATTTCCTCCCCTATAACACTATTTCCTCTCTACCCTCCCAGGACTCACCGCATATCCTTGAAACTATTTTCCTTGTTAGACGCTGAACGTGCCGAAATGTGAGTTATGTAAATGGATAGCCCTACGAGAGGATCACTGGCCTGATTGATTGATTGATTGATTGCCATTCAGGGCAGGCAGCACCAAATATAAACAGCAATTCTGGAGGACAAAGGACTCTCATTCTTCTCGGTTTTAAGCATTTGCGGGCGGTTTGTTTTCTATGCGCAATTTATAAAGTTGCTGACACAATAATGGGAGCCAGGACACGGCAGGAGCAGCCAGCCAGCCAGCCATGCCAGCCAGGATCACCTCTCTACATGGCACCTCCGCCTTAAGTTCTCGCGAATTAATTTACAAAAAAAAAAAAAAGGAGCCTGAATCTGTGGTCTCCGCAAAAGTATTATATTACTCCGATGGCCGGGAGCAGGACTGGGATTCAGAATCGGGAGCAGCAGCAGCAGCAGCAGCGTCCCAAGTTTGGTTGCGTCTTGATAAGGCATAAAAGGTCCTCCACAAGGACAATAGGCAATTGCCCAGGCATTTCCTCGAGCGTGTTTATGCTTTGCGCCTTCTTATCCCTCGATTTCTTATCACGGCAAAAAGATCAAATTTCGAGATTCGAGAGGGAGCACAGGACGAGAGCAGCAGAAAAGGAGCCGCTGGGAAAGGATGTGCCAAAGGATGAATCTCAAGCTTAAGGATTTTTCTTTCAAAAAAGTTTTTAAGAAGGCGGGCATAAGTCAGCCAGAGACAAATACATTATTTTAAATATATATTTTAGAATATTTTTTAAAGAACTAATCCCTCTCACCTCCTAAAAAGTATAAAGTCAACGTTCTTTCGGTTTTTTTTCGTTGTATTACACAATCAGATGCTGTTCTTGGCCCCTTTGAGTAGAATCGTTTCCCCAGAAACATATATCCAGAAAGACCTTAATTAAATTTTTGTTACCCGTACAGGCCGTACTTTTTTCACCGTGTCTCGGTTTCTGTGTTAACTTGTTCTAAGTACGCTTGCTTTTATGACCCATACAGGCAGTATAGTGGCCAGCCACTGGGCTCCAAGATGATGATGACAATGATGATGGACAGAAACGGACAAGTTTCACAATTTGCTGGCGGCTTTATCATGTCCAGAGTGGTGCGTTTTGACCTCTTGGCGAGTACGTGCCTGGCCTCAGAGTGTGACAAACTGGTTGCTCTTGTTGTTGGCAGAAAAGTGGTATAGTATAGTATAGTAGTTGCGGCCTGTAGTTGTTGCTTTTATGACTTAATGCCGCGTACGCCGCGCAATTTCAATTACACGGCGAACCCAAACGGCTTTACATGTTTACATGGCTAACACCGTAGGCCGATATAGAGCAGGGCCCGCACCCCGCCCTACCTACCGACGGGGGAGGGGGGGGCATCCGTAAGCGGTGTAAGCGACCTTCGACCGCCGCCAGGTGCCAAATTTGACAGGCGAGCGCAGGGCCGCTCGAGTCGCGCATAATTTATGCCCCACAATCCCGAAAATTACGGTCGAGGGGGGTGTCGGCCCTCTCTATTAGCCCTCAGCACGTGGCCAACTTTATGATTTCTCGCCCCAAACATCTTACTCGGCCACCGCCGCATTTCCTAGCTGTTGCATGCATATTTAAATTCAAATTTAATCAAGCCGCTGCAGGTGAAAGCCAGCTAGATTGCTAAGTTTTGCATTTTATTGCATTTCATCTGGGGAATAGCTTCTTCGAGGAGTTTAAAAAAGGGTCAAGAAATTTAAAATAATATTTAAGAGTTATATTTGTTTTATTTAATACAACTTTTTTTGAATTCTAGAAAAGTTTTGTTTTTTACATTAACAACAAAATAGTTTTATAGAAAATGTAAGAAAATTGATACATTCAAAACACAGAATATTTTAATAAAATTTTCTTAAAATCTATAAATATTTAAAAAGTCGTTACATCATTATCAAAGTTCACAACCATGGTTCACGTATGTGGTTTGTTTTGATCTGGTAACGTCGGTAAATCGATTTATTAAAATGTAAATACAATAAATTAAGGCAATATTTATAATACATTAAATCTACTTAATAAATTAAATAATAATTTAATTGCAATTAATTTATTAAACAGCTTCACACTCATATTACAAGTTGGGCAACAGAAAATACTTTAACGATACCGATTCTAAAAAGCCAAAAGATGTTAAGAATATGGAAAGAAACAGCGTCCTCTGAAACATATCAGTTGCAATAATTATAAAAATATATTTTGTGTACTTAATTTAAATTTAAATTTAAATAGTTAACCGTTTCCATTTTAGTGTGACCAATCGATTTGTGTTTAAAATCGTTGCAACGGTGTTGGAAAACGAACAGCGATATTTTTGCCATCCCTAAATCCGAACAAACAAAAACACGACACGACGAACACCGAAGAGCACCGCGGCGGTTGATATTTTTCTGGCCGCTCCATTACAATTACATTACACAACTTGGCAGGCGGTGATTTGTGAGAACGCTGAGTGTGGTGGTCCGACTTTTGAGATATTTACAAACACCGAAGCCGCAAAACTCTCGCTTTAAAAACTAAAATAAAAAAAAACTTTAAAAACTACGAATTACAAACAAGAGACGCGCTATAATCGGAATGAAAATAACTCGTTAAGTTTGAGGACTGTGCGGCAAAATCAAAGATATTCTTCAAAAGATAAACCAACAGCTAACGGTCAAGCCCTTTTAAATCAGTGTCCTTGTTGCTGTTATTGTTGAAGAAGAAGAAGAAGACGACGAAAATCAAAATATTTTCCATTTATACCGCGAATGTGTTAAGTGAAAGAAAAGGAGGAATATTACCAAAAAAAAACAAAAACAAAAACGTCATCAGGCCATTACCGTTATCAGCACCCGGCAATAAAAACAGAAAACCATGTTGATCTCGTGCAAATGCTTGAATTTCGTTGCCTCCGGCACAAAGTCACTGCTGCGGGGAGAGGATGGAGCTACCGGCAACCAAAACCCGGCAGCCGGAGAGGTGCCCATCCCGGTCCTGCTGTCGCAGGTGTTCCGTCAGACGTATCCCCGCGAATTTGTTTTCTACAACCAGTACATGGACTTTTTTAAGCGAGTAAGTGCTTCTATAGCTTTTCGCGATTATGGTTATCGTCTTCTATATAGAATATGTTCGTGTGCGAGCAAGAGAGAGAGGGCTGCGCCAGTTCCAGTATTGATTGGGGGGTAGCACAGCGCAGCATAAAAACAGGCCTATGCTCGCGCTATCTATCTCACTCTCGCAGCCACCTCCGGAGGGATTACAGTGGGCCTTACCGATGCACAAACAGCGCAGAAGTGAACTTTTAAGATATTGTTTTGTGTTAACTTTTATTTTGATTTTCATCCTGACACGTTTTCGCATAAAATATATTTTTAATATACTATCCTGGCATTAGGAAATGCCCACTGTACTTACATTCCCAAGGCACGCACAATCAAACATACGCGAACAAAACAAACACTAACACACACACACACAACACATACATAGGGTAGGCCTAGGGCCCTAGGGCCTGGAATCGGGAAATGGGCTGGAAAGGGATGGAGGAATATAGAGAATGGCCGGAAAATAGGGTCATCCAGCCAACATCGCACGCTCATGGGAACAATCCCTTTTTGCGTCTCGCATTTTGGTTTATTTTTGGCCCGACCAAGTGCATCTCTGGCTCCGTTTCTCGCTCCTTGGCATCTCCCTTTTGTTCTGGCCCCTCCCGCACCTGTTCAGCCGCTCCTGCCCAGCTCTCCTCGATCCAAAACACCCTGTACAGCTGCTGGCTCTCTGCCGGTACTCTCTGCCAACCTGATCGCCGGTATTTTTAGGTCCCTGCGTCAGCTTCTGTTTCACTTACGTTACTTTATTTCGGCCTTTTTTTTTATGATTTATGCGCTTTTGCTTTTCATTTGCTACGCCCTCGGTTGTAAATAATTTGCATAATTTCCTTCTGAAATTTTTTCAGTTTTTTTCAAAGCCGCAAAAGGGTGGGCCGGCCGGCCGGCCTCTCAGGGGTTAAGCGGTGTCAGTTGGCGCAGGCGGTTCATGGGTTATTTTCCACATTTAGGCATTCCGACGTTGGGGAATTCTCACTTTTTTAGGCCACCTTTCCGTAGCAAACTAAAAAATACTATGTTTGTTTAATTAGGGTTTAGTTAGCAAACGATCTTTGGGTTTTTCAAGAAAAGATAGGAGATAATAGATACAAATTTCGTGCCATTCTACAATAAAAATTTATTATTTTATTTATTTGCACTTCAAGTCTACCACAAACAACCCTTTATTTACTTTAGTTTAAATAAATATGATTATTTGGGGTTTATATTAGCAAACAAACACCATGTTTACTATCATTAACTTCAATTTGAAGATAATGATTTTATTGGATTATTACGAATAAATTAAATTTGTTTGTTTGCTTTTGGCACACCTTTATCTTCATAATTGTACTACACTTTTTCCATAATTCCATTTGATGCTACCTCATCCAAGACCAGAATCTCTGCGTCATCGCCGTGTGCCTTGTCCACAGTTTTCAAGGTTAAATCTCTTATCCCCCCACTTTTCTTGGCTCTCTCTCGCTCTGCTGCTCTCTCTCTCTATGTTCCCCATTCTTCGGCGACAGCACTTGTCACTATTTGAGAGTAACTGTGATGATGGTAAGCCATAGTTTGAAAAGCATTGTTTAGAACACAAGGTTCATGAGAGTTTGTTTTTATTTTTATTTTTAAAAACAATTGTTTATCAGAAACCCCTGCACCGCAAGCTTGTAACCCGAGTTGTAATGCAAAAATTGAATTGTTCAATAAAGCAGCGTCTTGCTGCTGCTGCTGGTGCTGCGGTTTCGAGATCATCAGATATTGCTGCGACTATTGTTGGGATTCGTTGCTCTGGGGGTTGCACCCACTTCAAAAGCGCTGAGGCGTACAGCAACAACAATATGGACAAATAGACCAAAAGTGTTATTTTGAATAATTCAAAGCTCGAAACAAAACAAAAGCCACAAAGTAAAGCAAGAAAAGCGAAAGAAAAGTGCAATAACGAATATCAGATTCTCTTAAATTATAGTTAGTTACTATAAGATATTTGTGATTTTACTTAAAAGATACTATTTTCCCTTTAAAACTTCCCTTAGCCAAAAAAAAGTATCTGACAGATGCCTAGCTGTATCTACTCCCGCTTAGAGGGTATGCCTTTTATTCAAATACTCACATCATGGCATACTATATCCCACAAGTATAAATATGTATGTATATATGGGAGGCTTGTGTGTTTTGTATATATTCTCGCTATATAGAGCCAAAACGGAACGCTTTTAGAATAAATTACGAAACCAGCGACAAAACACAAGCAAGCAAGAAGTAAAAAGCACAAAGAGCAGCCAAAGAGTGGGCGCTCTACAGGGGGCGGGGCAGCACAAGCACAAGCAGAGGCAGCGGCAGAGGCATAGGAAGAACAACAACAGCCGAAATACAAAACAAAAAACTTGTTTATAATTTTTTTTTTTCCCCCACCATCTCTTTGCTTTATTTTATACGATTGTGTGTGTGTGTGTGTGTGTTGGATAAACAAGTTTTCGAGATTTCCAAATGCGACCGGCCGGGGACTGGACCGGGGACCGCCGTAAATTGGAGTCCGGGAAGAGAAAGACCAAGAGGGGTCTGTGGCGCTGGGCCCACTGGGCGCAAAGGGAGGCGCCCAGAAAATGCTAGGCATTTATCTTAAAAAGATATTCCATTTGTTGCCCTTAATATCAATTAATTATATTAAATATTTCTATTCATTTATTATCCACCGAATTACCCATAATATTGTCATATCCTAATTGACCTGAATAGGTGATATTTTTTTCGGTGCAAAGCATACAAAAAAATAAAAAACAGACTCCAAAGTGGTTTGTTTTTTAGTTTTGGCCCACTTGATGGGCCAGTTGACAGGCCGTTCGCTGGCGACCCCCACTCCGGCACTTCCTTCTCTTCTCGCCAAGCTGCGTCTCGGCTGCGTAGGCCCCCAAATGTTTAAATTATGATTTTATGCATAACATTTGTTTCAGCTCTCAGCTACATATGGCCGAACTATGTGATGAACTATTACAAGGCTACAGACCCTAAAATGTCGGTCGATTTAGGGGACTCTATAAAATGCTAAAAGAGATATAAAAAGTTTAAGTAAACAATCTTTTAAATGTCATTGAAAGATACAATATCTTGTATCTGCTTCTGGTTCTTGTTATCCCAGGACGATCAGCTGTTTAGGGATGAGCTTTCTGCAACACCTTCTTAGTGGTGAGAAAGTTGCAGAAAGGAAACAATCGAACGCATATCCATTGCACGCACATCTCTTATCAGTTTTCGATTGTCCAGCGCTCTCTCACACACGCACACACACGTTCACACCTAGTCTTCTTTTCTAGGTTATCAAACGGTAATATCTTGTATCTGCTTCTGCTTCTTGATATCCCAGGACGATCAGCTGTTTAGGGATGAGCTTTTTGCACCATCTTCTTAGTGGTGAGAAAGTTGCAGAAATGAAACCATAGCTTCCATTGCACGCACATCTCTTATCAATTTTCGATTGTCCAGCGCCCACTCTCACACACACACACTCACACCTAGTCTTCTTTTCTAGGTTATCAAACGGTAAAACGCTGCGACACAGATACACCTACCTATCAATACCCAGAGTATATAGTACACACATACTATATACTGCACGATCGCCGTCACTCTTGCTGTCGTCAGTGGGTTGTCTGCCTGTGATTTTGTTTTTGGAAATTGCTTTAGTTTCGATTTGAGGAAAGAGGAGAGGGTCTCTTAATCAGCCAAGGGCCTGCAAAAGATTCTGGCTCACCTGTGAAAATCAGTTAATTAAAAAGCCAACAACGACAGCGAAACTGGTTTGATAAACAACCAGCGACAGCTGCTGCATTCATATGCTAATGTCCATGTTTATTTTTAGCCCAGTTAATCGCGTTATGAAACCGAAAACCCTTTTCCAATCCAACGATTCCAAAACCAAATCAAAGCACGAGAGCTCTATTAATCAGTTATATGCAAGTTATATTGTATATGGGGTGTTTACGAGACTCTCCACCATGCTTACTACTCCTATGAGGAAAATGTAAGGCGCGGCTGCAGTGTGCCAACATTTGTTGGCTCTAAAAATAGCCATTATCAAATGTAAAGTCTGTGAATCGTGAATGTGTGGCGGGAGTGGGGTGGGGAGGGGGCAGCACAATTATAGTAAGAGAATGATAAGTAGCCTGGGTCAGGAGTGGGAATGAAAAATCATTATTTTATCGCAATTGAGACTATGGAGAGCTTAATAGTAGTTTAGGTAACAAAATAGAAGTCAAACAACAGTATTTCTGATGAAATTTCACTTCTAAATCAGTAATTTTAATATATTTAAGATAAGAACAAGAATGCTAAGATTTAAATCAAGTTCTAACATGTATTCCCACAGCAGGGAGCTTGAAGTCATCGCATGCCAAGGTCATAGAATCCCAGTGGAGAAAAGTTAATGGACATTGGTCAATCAGAATCAGCCACACACCCCCTTCCTGCCCCCCTACCCAGGCGGGGAGCGCGTGTGCCGGTTAATTGAAAACCAATGTTAATCTTTAACAAATATAACCTTGGATGCGGCAACAGTCGAACTACAACGTACTACTGGTGATAAAAAAAGTAACACTTCGGGCCAATTTAATGAGCCAGTTCGACCTGCTTCCTAAACTCTTAACCTTTAGGCCGTCTTTGCTGCAACTACAAGCCAACCACCATTCACATTCACTCCTCACTCTCGTGTAAACAAAACTATAAATTCTTGAATTGAGAAACCGCGCGCTCGACTATAAATAAATGGCGAAATCACCTCTTCTTGGCTAGCTGGTATTTATTCGAAATATCCCAACGATAGCGAATATATTTTATTTTGCGTATGCAACAGGGATGAGATGGTGGTGGTGATGGTGGTTCTAGTAGTTGGGGTTGATTCTCTTGTGTGGCTCGCTCACGTTTTCATTGCGTGATTTCTTCAGGTGAGGGGTTAATTTCTTCGCTACCCCTCAATTATGATGCCTG